TACCGTACATATATAATAATTATTTTATTCGTTTCACATTATTTAAAAATATAAACATGATTTAAAATAACACCCCCTCTATTTCAATTTTTTTAAATATATTTTAAAGAACTTTTTTAACATGAACTACTTACGGAATTTTAAGAATTAACTTATATTTTAAGTTAATATTTTTTTTTGTTAAAGGGCCTGTATTTTAAGTTAATATTTAAAAGTTAATATATTAAAGTTTTAAGTTAATATATTAAATTTTTAAGTTAATATATTAAAGTTTTTAAGTTAATATATTAACTTATATTTTAAGTTAATATATTAACTTATGTTTTAAGTTAATATATTAACTTATATTTGAAGTTAATATATTAAATTTTTAAAAAAATTGAGTTAATATTTAAAACTTTACTATATTTATAAAATATTTGTGAAAAATATAAAATCGATCCGTAGTTTATAATTATTTGTTTTGGTAATTGGTTATTTATTTTGTCAAATGATAGAGCCTCCATGCATTTATGTCGTATAAAGTCGTACAAAAAAAGTCGGACTTAATATTCTTCGATGATAAAAATCTAAAGATATGGTACTTTTAGGACATTGGATAAAACACTAGTAATAAAAAAAAGTAGGGATTAGAGGTCCTTATCCAAAGAAATACGTGCACATATATATAGATGCACACATAATCTTAGCTGTAGTCTAAAGTGTAGCCCACGGTTTATGGGCATGTGAACATTTTATCATCTGCTCAACAATGTTCCTCGTCGCCCGCACCAACCATTATTTGCTTGCTTTTCAATGATTTATTTATTTATTTATATGGATTTGTGACCTTAATTGGTATTTTTATTGTAACATCCTAAACCCAGCCCAATTAGAAGATGTTCAGCAAATTCAGGCCCACTTCAGAAACCCTAATAAGGAATTAGGAGTTAATGAGCCTCATTCTGCCTTTAATTACCCTAACTTCCAAAGAAAAAAAAGTGAGAGAGAAGGAGAAGCTGCACGCCGCCGCCGCCGCCGGAGAAGGGTGCCGCCGCTGCTTGCCGAGAGAATAAGGAGCACTCGCCTGCCTCCACCTTCTTAGAAGTTGCTTGATTCTTTTGCCTCTTCTAGTTCTCCTTAATCTCAGATCTGATTTTAGACCAAGGTGAGGATTAGATCTAGGTCTTTTTTCTTATCCCTTTATCTTCTTCTGGTGTGTTGAGTCTAGATCTGGTAGGACAGGTCTGTCTTCTTGTGTATCTAGGCAGATCCATATATATGTATATAACTAATAAGATCTAGGATCTCATTAGAGTAAGAACCAGCATGATTGATTGATAACCCTGTTGATTGGTTAGTGATTGGTAGAAGTCCTAAAGGTCATAGTCTGTTTCTGGTATAGTGATGTGCCAAATGCAGGCTTGTTTGCTGGGTTATGTGCCGTCTGGGTGACCGTGGCAATAATCCATTCATCCGGTGGAGTGATGACCCACGAGGCTGTCCATGTGGCATGCCGGGATTGGACTGTCTGTGTGACAGGGTCTCTGTCTGTGTGACAGAGCGTCTGTCTGTGTGACAGGGTGAGATGTCGACCTGTGTCCGAGTGACAAGGTGGTTTGGCCTATTGAGAGGCGGGATCGGAGACATCACTGCTTGTTAGTTGTTTGTGCACTTGTAGAGTGCTTGTTTGGTTTCATTAGATTTATTCTTAATATGTTAGTGAAAATAAATAAATAAGCCGGAAGCCTGGTTTGGTTCTCACTGAGTAATTCTCCCAAATTACTCACCTCTCTCTCTCTAAATTCCGATGTGCAGGTGGTTGTGATTGTGAGTGTGATTGTGATGATGTCTAGGAAGAACTAGACGAGTAATTCTAGTGTGGTGTGCCTTCAGAAATTGAGAAAGTTTTATTGTTTTAAGAACTATTTCACCTTTCTTTTTAAAACAATGTTTCTATTTATTTCGGATTTAATAAGTTATTTCATTTCTATTGTAATACTTGGATTTAGGTTTGGATTTGAATAAAAAATATGTTATTTGGAATTGGTTTAGTTTAGATTAGTTAATATCTCGGTTTATTCTAGTTTCCCTTAGAACCAGGAATCGGGTGTTACACTTATTACGTTGGTTTTTGTAACTGTAAGTCTGTAACCCACCAAACAACTTATGAACACTTTATAGCCTACGAAACATAATATGATATTGTAGTTTCAGAACTGAAGTAGCACAGCATCCAAATTCTTTGCCTTCTGTTATGGTCATAATTTCTAACTTATAACTATATGGAAATCGTTGGAAACAAAAATGGTCACCAATATTCTCTGAATGTTATCAATTATTCGTGTCATTGTTAATACAAAATTTCACGTGAATAATGAGACTGGAATAATCAAGCTATATTGAAATATAGTAATAATAAAGTAGATAAATCTAGAAAATTGAATGTTTGGCGCAACTAGTTGGGTTCTGCTGAGACATAAAAAGGTGAGAGTTCCAAGGCAATTGGGCTGAGATCTCAGAAACCACAAAGAAAAAAAGCTTTGGTTCTTTTGCTGTCTTTTCTTCCTTCCGCGCCACCTCATCTCTTACATGCAATATTCCTATTTTTCCTCTTTTTATTTATTTCATCATAATAATTTTTGTGGATGACAAACAAAAACGTAAATCTCTTGGAAAGACGAAGCTCTCTATTGGTATCATCAATGGCGCAACGTTTGTAACTTACCTTGTTATGCTTGAAATTAGCTACATGTTAATATATGCGACCATTGTGCGGTTAGCACCATTCGTAGATAAACATTATTTTGGTTCCACAGTAACTCACCGTAAAAGTTTTGTCTGTCGTTGAATATGAATCATTTTCATTGAGGATTGATCTATACTTTCTTATTATTTTTCTTTATTTTCGATCACTTTCGTTAATCTATATATAATTCCTATATAATTATATCATATAAAACTAATCGGACCATAACATTTTTGATGACCATATTTTACTTACTGGACCGTGGTATATTTTAATATGGGTCCCTTTTAATATTATGCATTAGAATAAAAAAATATTACGATAAAGTAGTTGTTTTAACGGTATTAAAGTTCAACTTCGTTTTCCCCTTTTTACTATGATTTACGAGTCATTAATTAAAGTATTAAAAACTAGGTTATGTTAGCCTTTCTTTATTTTCAAAACTTTGCATTATATAATGACTTCAAAATTCTTTTTCTTCATTAACAAATAGCAAAAACAAGAAATTAATAAAAGAACCCCCGTTGCATCAATTCAGTTCGATAATGAGTTCTGTTATTTTTTTTTTTGTTAAAGAAAAGCCTGTAAGGGTAGGAAAAGAAGAAGGAAAGTTGAAGCATACAATAAAACCTAGAGTCGAAGCATACAATAAATATCTACAAAATATCCTTCTTACAACATATATTTATTTAACATGTGCGAAAAAAAAAAAGGTGTGAGTTTTTTCAATACCTACACAATTTTGGTAAGATTGAAAGTGTACTATACAAATTCTATGGTATTTTCGATTATTATAGTCGGACGAAGTATTTGACTGAAGCCAAGTCCTTCTTTTTTTTCCCAAAAAAGCCAAGTCTTTTTCCAAGAATGGTATTAAGTAGACTAAATGGCGGAATTGCGTTTTTAAACACAATTCCGCAGGTTTTTTGCCAATCAACAAAAATTCGCGTAATGAAAAAATATACACAAAAACGCAGACTGCGTTTTTGCTTAACAAAAATACAAATGAAAAGTCATTCCGCAGAAAAACGACTTATAAGTCGCTTAATCTATTCCACAAAATTTTTTTCGCAATTCCGCAATTCCGCCATTTCGCAAAGTTACCAATCAAAGCCTAAATGAACACATATATCTATGTGTATATAAAGCGCAGAAAAATAATAATACTTCTGTACTGTATTTCTGCCCCTCCAGTGGCTGCAGCAAAACAAGGCACCTGCAACACTCTCCGAGTGCGCAAATTAGTTTTATTTTTCTTCTCCAAGAAGTCAACAATTAAAATGATACTGTATATTTTTTTTACTGAGTATTTTTCTAGCAGATGCTTTTTCTCTTTCTTACCTCCATGTCCATTTAAAAAGAAAAAGATTAATAATCAATACTATTATGTCTGAGATGTATGGAAGTGTAATATACCACCGTTGACTAAATTTAGTATGATTATGATTTTAAAATAAAAATATATGAAAACAGCATATATAAGATTAGGTATACTACGAATGGAAACAAAAAATTCTGACTAGAATTAGTAGGTATAGTATAATCCATTGTTCAGAATCTATAATATTGATACGGACTCTCGTTAAATTATGCCAGTTCCTACATCTACAAATAACACGAGGACTTGTAAATACATACGGAGACCGTCAAATCGTATAGTTCATAGAATCATAGTTATAGAAAAAGACAATTGGGAAACTATGTTAAGTTTACTAAAATCTATTTTTGTTAAGGTAAAGATTGACATGACTCCGCATTCAGGAAAATTAAGTTTACGAATTTATGGATGTTTGGGCTTGCTTTGTATTTTATCTTTTTGTGACATGACCTTCCACATCCTATCTTCGATTAATTATATTGACATGGTCATCTAATTTCTTGCTCTTGTTTCATAACGAATTAAATGGATCAATCCTAACGATTTCAATACCAAACCAACAATGGCCGAATCAAAATTTGATGAAATTGAAAATTAGCTTTTATTCTTGGTTTCAAGCTGGTACATAAACCAAGAATTCAAGAAATCAGAAAACTACAATGTGTTGGTCCCTTTTGTAATTTCCATCTAACATATATGGTAAAGAAAATTTTATTACGAATCACAAAAAAAAACATTTATCCTTAAAAGAAAACTAAAACGGGCGAGTAAAAAAAAAACGAAAGGAAGAAGTGAGAGTGAAGAGAGTGTAAGTATATGTATAAAAAGAAGAAGCACCGCCCTAATCCACCATTCACAACCATGACATTCAAACACCCTTCAGTCTCCCTTTCTTCTTGATTCGTCCTCTCCATTTTTCTCAATTTCTTTAATCTCTCTCTCTCTTCCTTCTTCTTCCTCTTTCTTCATCTATGGACCCTTTACCTTCCCAAAAACACCATCTTGACGACGATAATCTTCATCAACAAACCCTAACCAACAATCCTCAATCCTCCGATTCAACCACCACCACCACCGACTCAACCTCCTCCGCTCAACAACGCAAACGCAAAGGCAAAGGAGGTCCAGACAACTCCAAGTTTCGTTACCGTGGCGTCCGACAAAGAAGCTGGGGCAAATGGGTCGCCGAGATCCGTGAGCCACGTAAACGCACTCGAAAGTGGCTTGGTACTTTCGCCACAGCCGAAGACGCCGCACGTGCCTACGACCGAGCCGCCGTTTTCCTCTACGGGTCACGTGCTCAACTCAACTTATCACCTTCCTCTCCTACCTCCGTGTCTTCCACTTCCTCCTCCTCCGTCTCCGCCTCTTCCACCTCTCCTTCCTCTTCCTCTTCCTCCACTCAAACCCTAAGACCTCTCCTCCCTCGTCCCTCCGCCTCCGGAGCCTCCGCTTTTGGTCCTTACGGTCTCCCTTTAACCAACAACAACATCTTCCTTTCTGGTGGGCCTTCTATGTTATGCCCTAGTTATGGTCTTTTCTCACACCAACAACAACAACAACAACAACAAAGTCAGATGACGCAAGTGGGACAATTCCATCAGCAACAGTTTCAGAATCTTCAACCTAGTAATAACAGTAACAAGATCGGTGACGTGGAGCTCACAGATGTTCCCGTGGTCAATTCGACGTCGTTTCATCAAGAGGTGGCGTTAGGGCAAGAACAAAGAGGGTGTAATAATAAGATGGAAGATTTGAACTCTCTGGCTGGTTCGGTTGGTTCGAGTTTGTCAATATCTACGGCTGTTGTTGATCCGGTTGGTTCTATGGGTATGGATACGATTGGAGATGTATCTTCGACGGTTTGGCCTTTTGGTGGAGAAGACGAGTATAGTCATTGGGGGAATATTTGGGATTTTGTTGATCCCTTCTTGCTTGACTTTTGACTTTGAACCCTTTTTTTTCCATCGGAATTCTATTGATTGTTTTGGGGAATACGATGAGGCAACTTAAAGGTCAGTCAAAGAGCATTGGAGATTCTGAGGATTCATTGTTGAAAGGAATCAAGGAGACTACATTCGTTGAGGAGCTTTTTGCATGCAAAATTTTGGAGGATTTTTTTTTCTTAAACATATAGAGATAATTAAGAGGATAATTTATTATTTTTGAATATTTTTTTTGGTTTTCAGGGAATTCGTAAAGGAGATTACGGTTCCAATAAAGTATATATAGTATGTGGAAGAAGAGGAGATGGTGGAAAGTTTTATGTTGATTTATTGGTTCGACACTTCATAGAGTGCCCTTATGGGATGAAAATTTCGATTTGGTTTGAGTTTGTCTTTCAGAGTTTTAAATATCTCATTTTCTCGGAGAATATTTATATATCTCTCTATTAAGTTTGAATTATAGGATTCAAGGTAAAAACATATTCAAGTATAAGCGCTCATCGCTGGAGGAATATTGGCCATCGTTGAGAAGAATATATACTTTATCTGATTCTATCGATAGTAGGAGTTGATCAATGATCCTAGCGATGGAGGATTTGTTACTTGTATAATATGTTTTAAGTTTTCGGAAGCTCTAGTTCTCTATATTATGTAGCGTTATAGTAAGTAACAACATATGTTACCCTTTATGTAGCTTCTGTATTAGTTTGGAACTACGATCATTACAAGAAATATATAGTTCAGTTTCCGATCTAACAAATTCTAAGATCATATAAAGATTCGTTGGATTAATTTGTCTTTCTCATATAAAAAGATGCTGACATCAGCATTTCCATAAAACCAGGTGTGCTACTATATATTGATCCTTGTTAGTTGTTATACTTATACTTGAATCGTCGTGATACAAATAAATTCACGAGATTATGTACGGTATGGTACAAAATTGCTTAGATGTTAAAGAACAAAATGGACATTTCTACCAATCGAAATATTTTTCTCATCCTAGTGCTGTGAGAATATTATAAGCGTCAAGGCCCAAAAACTTATATGGGCTAGTAAAAGGCCCAAAATCTTATATGGGCTAGTGAAAGGCCCAAATATACCTCTACACTAGGGTTTTCAAGGGTATATAGTCGCAGTTAACGCAACAATTTCTCTCTTGTTACCGTCACCGCGAAATCGCCGATTAGGGTTCTGAGAAAAGCACTTTCTCCGCAATGAGAGCCAAGGTACATTCATCTTTCAGATCTTGTGCAATACATTTTATCTGTTACGTATATTATCATTCGGCTAAGTTCTGTTTTAATCGTGTTTTGCAGTGGAAGAAGAAGCGTATGAGGAGGCTGAAGAGGAAGAGACGAAAGATGAGACAGCGATCTAAGTAGAGACTCCTCCTTTGAAGACTTCGCTTTTCCATCTGCTTCCTTGTCTTTGCTTTTCGCTTCAATCCTAAGTACCGTTGTCGGATTTTTGTTTCAGCTTTTAAGTTTTCTGGGCTTCGTTTTTGTTGGATTGTATGGATCCTCAATCAATGTTAAAGCTTCATCTTTTTAATCAGATGTTCACCAACAATGTTATCATCTTGTAGCCGTTTATCCTCGTAGTGAATTGAGAATATGTCAATTCATCATTTGGATCATTTGACTTGGATCTTGTGGAATAATTCAGATTTAGGTTTACACAATCTTGAAATATATGATCGTGTTTGGTTTAGCAAGAAGTATCCAACATGTAATGCTTATGAACAGATAGAAACCACTACTCCAAATTGCTGACAAAATCTTAGTAATAATGGGATCGTGTTCTATACTATGTGTATATGGTAAAGTGGTAAAATGATATTAGAATATTTTTCATCACGAGTAGTGAGAAGAGAGGAACCATCTTTGTCTTTTGCTTCTGATCCTACAAACCGAAGAAGTAGACGAAGAAGAAGACGTGATTCGGTTTAACGCTGCACAAAGAGATTGCTTCAAAGCTTTAGCCGATGCAGCCATTTTTGTTGTCTCTTTGCAGTCGCTATCTTTCAAGATGAAATTGATTCTTGTTCTTCCTCCAAGACAGATAATCTCAGCTTGGATTGTTTCGAGTTGAAACTTTGTGAGAACCCTAACGATCTCTGAGATGGCCTCGGGTTGATCTTCGCAGCAAAAAGAAGCTTTGAAGATGACTCTATTGGTGTCTGATTCAAAGTCATTGGAGATGGTTTCAGACTGCACAGTTACTTCATCTGCTTCTGTTGGAAGATCTTGGAAGATTTGAGATTCTTTTGCTTTCTGTTTGAGTTCCTTCACTTGTTCTATCACTGTTGCTAAGAGAGCTGCTTTGTCTAACTGTATAGAGACAAAGGTCAAGAAAAAACCGGTTTACTCAAATAAGATTTCATTTCTAAACCGAAACATTGCGACGACAATTTTTGCGAGACAAGTGAAGGAATGTGGGATTTTGATTTAAAAAAGCTCTCTTTTCTAACTGTAACAAACCACCACATATGCTGAACCGAGTCAGGTAATAACCGGTTAACTCAAATTGAAATTCATGACTAAACCGAAAACATTTCAATCTCGCTTTTGCATGACGAGTCAATCAATCGATTTCAGAATTCTGGTGTTTAAGGATTTTTGGATCAGAGACATACCTTGTCGGAATCAGGGACAAGTTTCCGGAGAGCGGAGAGGTGAGAATTAATCCGGTCACGGCGTCTCTTCTCGGCCAGACGGTGGCTTCTGGAAAGGGACTCAGCTTTTTCGATCCCACCGACAAATTCATCTGGCGGGAAATTGCCGGAGGAGGTGGAGGAAGAAGAGAAGCCGAGATTAAAGCGGCTAAAATCTGAATCGGAAGAATCAGTTTGTAATGACCATGAGACCAAACTATATGGACTGTTGTCGGAATCAGACCACTTGGCTGCTGAGTCGTACGAATTCTCCATCGCGCGAGAAAATATAAAAAATAAATTATTTGTTTATTTTATTTTCTTATTTTAGTAATACCTTTTTTGTGTGCACAATTCTGAAACTCAGAACTGATTTTTTTTTTTTTTTTTTGAGGATGTAAGTGGAACTGAGTGAGATAGAGAGAGCTCGAAGTTCGATCTAAATAATGAAAGGAGAAATTAAGGTTGATGGTGATTGGTGTGATACTCGTTCTAGACTTTTGTTGGTCTTTTTCTTCTTTTCATAATTTGTATAAATTTCTCTGTTTTTTTTTAAATAATTGCATATACGTGCAGAGCCGCAAATTTGTGTTGAAATTTCGCTGAAAACTCAACTACATTACTCAACCCTCTTGGATTTTAGAATTATTTGGTTTATCTTATCCGCTCAGCATCTCCTATTCCACTATGCCTAATACCCTAATATTCCATTATACACATACATACTTAATCGTTGAATCAGAATGTTCTACCCACTTGATTACTCGATTACACGCTTTTGATTGAGTTAGCTTTTATTGTTATCCCAAATTTCAATTTAACATTTTAACGTAACTTTGATATCCCCGATTTGATTTAACGTGAGTACCAAACACTTATCCGAAGATCTTAATTGTATACGTATTCATCAAATAGTGTGGAAGAACATTTTACGAGCAATAGTATGGGATGAAATAAAGTGAAAGGGTTTTGTATACTTTATACAAGTCGGTTTATTGGGTAGGATAAATAAGATAGGGATTTGTAGTTTGAAAAATTAGTCGTTCAAATCAAATAGGTATATCGAGCCACTTTAATCATATGGAGGAAGACCAACTGGTTTTAAAGTTGGGGAAAAAAATTAAAATGGAATATAAGAAATAGTAGAAAAGTAGAATCTGACAACGATTAATCTTCAATGATAATTATTGAGGGGAAATGCTTTTATCTTTATGTAAAAAACAAAGATTTCACCGGGATCGGTGGTCTCACTCACATCTCTCATGTTCCAATCATTTTCTACGTTTTTTCTTTATTATTATATTTTATGAACAGAGTTTGGATAGGAACAAATAATACTTTGCCTACCACATCCACAATATTTCTCCGTTTTCTCGATACCTTCTATCGCGATATACTCGATATATGGTATCTGATTTTATTTTGTATACTCAGTATCACAAGAGACTCCATTTCCATGGTGTTTGTTCGTCAATGGTTGAGTGCAAAGAAAAAGAAAGAAAACGAAAGAGATACTGAGATTTGGTGATGTTGTTGCATAGTTCAATGATTTTTGATTAGACTATGTGAAGAGGAATGGCTACAGGAAAGTCCACGAGGAACAGAAGACCAATTCAAAGATATATATATATATATATATATATTTATATCAACGGATTACACAAAGCTGGCAGATGATAAAACATGAGTCTAATTACTTTGTTTTGTTTCGTTGAGAACTCTCTCATTTAATCTTTCATTGTAGGCTTGTAGCTATATAAATGAGTTGAGTCACATGATTGTTGAAAATAACTAACAAGAACTTTAACTATTAACATACAAAATCCAGATTATTAAGTGAGCATCAATTAATTTGTGTGTGTGTATATGAATGTTAAAATTTTTGTTATTGTATACGTTTGTTATTCCTATTAAGGTGAACTGATTTTTTTTGGGTGTAATTTAGGGGAAACAAAACTTTTTACGCGCATCGATAGAAAAAACAAGCTTTAACTTAGATTTGGTGGCGCTTCTTGTCATATATTCACATGCGGAAGAGAGAAGCCTTTATTCAATAATCAATAAATGTGGTTGTAAGTCACCAAAACTTACTATTTCTCCAAATTTTAATTGTAACATATCTATATAATTTGCGTAAATCAAGATATGTAGGGCCAAAAGGAGCACTTCAAATCAGCAGTTTCATACCACACATTGAAATAAAAGAATTATAAAGATTTCAGTCATATTCGAGTTTATCAAGCATTTGACATTGTAGTTCTTATCACCCACTGACACTCCTTTTATTGGCAGATTTTTATCAATCAAACTGATCATGGACTGTTGTGAATTTAAGGTTGGTTAAAAAAAGCATACAAATCTAAGTTAGAATTTACTTCTCGAAAAATGCAGTTCAATTTATAGACAAAGAGAGTAGACTCAATCAGTTTCATATAATATATATATATATATATATATACAATATAAGATACTACTACTATTCATAACAAGTGTCATTTTCTTTTGTTAAAGTTCCTAGTAAGTGTCATGGGAGCATGGCTTTATTTTTGTTTTTTTCAAAGAGTGTTGTTTATTAATAAAACTCCAGCTTTATATATCCATATGGTTTTAGCTTATTAAGTGGAGAAATAAACTTATAAATGTATTAATGATGGATAAAATAGGAATCCTGTAACATCCTTTTTCACAAATGTAACAACTAAAACGAGACCTATAATAAAACGGAGGTAGTGTATTATGAATAACTTAGCTAGTTATATCAATTAACGTGGGTAAGTTAATAGTAAAGGTAACCATTTTTTTCTTTTTTGTTGACGGCATAGTACAAGTTACCATCCAAAACACTAGTTGATCCTAATCAAATAATAGCATCATAATATACATAATTAGTTAATGATGATGGTATATTAAACTACGTTTTCAGAATATTACATAAACACCAACAATTCCAGAACTGTTGAAACTTCAGTGTGGTACGGTGAGATCTTAAAGTAAAGATCAAAAGAAAATCGAGCGATAGACCTAATCATACTCTTTTATATTAAAAAAAGTAGGTCTTTCTTGTTTATACGATGGCTAGTTTCTAAAAAAAATTATATCAGTAAGGGGTTAAAATAAGGGAAAGTGTTCGTATAATACATATGTTTTTGATGCATATTATATAATCTTGCAATCTTCGTAATAATGATAAACTGATAATCATATCGAGTAATCGAGTGCTTTGTTAGTTTCTTTTTGTTTTCCATCGCATATTCCATCTTTTTAGCCTTTCCAAAAAGAACAACTATTGACTACCGACAATGAAGACTTGTCTTCTTCTCTTTTATTTTGGATCATTGAAGGAAAATCTGAATGAATAACCTCACTCTCTTTTTATCTAGTTAGTAAAAGGGATTGTTAATTTGTGTAAAAATCTGAATATATTTGATGGAAATGTTTTCCTTGTGCACGCAGACACTGTTCTATACGGAATTTAAAAACTATTGGTGGGCACTATTGCTTCACCTCGTAGGTTGGTGAACACTTAAAATACAGTCGTTTTTTATTTATATATAGTAAGCTTATTAAAATACGTCTACTATTACTTCCTGAGAAAACCAGTTGATTGAAATTCGTCTACTTTAGTTTCGAACTCATGACCATCCCATATTTTCTTCATGCGACCGTAAACTTGAATAAGATCAAATTGTATGGCCAGGGGGCATTAAAGGTCAAAAACACATAATGCAGTGATGCATGTTGTGGCTCCCTATAAAGCCCACTTCTTTGACATTTTCTTGTCTTTTCTTTTTCAAGTAAATGGTATTTTTTTACATATGATGATCTAGTACCTAACCTCCCACAAAATGAAGAGAAGTTTGTATCTAGTATATTTGACATGAGATTTGATGTAGCATGTTCGATAAGAAGCAAGACTTGAGATGCCGTTGGACCATCTGAAGCAACTCTTCAAATCTTCTTTGTGGTTTTAAGCAAAATTTTGTTTTTTCTCTCTTTTTGGTAAATAAACAAAACAAAAAGGAAAAGCAAGAAAAGGAAAGAAATTTCTTGGTTATTAGACTGGACCGGTGAAAACGGGTCGAATTGCAGTTTTGAAGTCCTCAGAAAACCGTTGTTCAGAGAACCTCGTCGCTCGTTTTCTAGCAAATTCAGCCATCTTAAGCCTCTCCGTTTCTTTCATCTTCACTATCTCAAGGATCGCTTCAGCGTATTCCTCCACGGTCTCAGCAAGAAACCCGGTTCTTTGTCCGTCTTCTTCCAACACAATGTCCATTTTGGGTCCAGCTGAATTATGAGCTGCAATATAAGTAAAAAACAGAAGATCCATTAGGAAAAAATATTGAATGAGTAACTGAAAAAAAAAATCACATATACAAGCCTCTTCTTAAGTCTGACCTATTGGTATCGCACCAGCAGCCATGTACTCAACAACGCTTATCCCAAAGTGTTCATCTATCATCCCATGCATTCCTGCAACTGCATTTCCTAGCAGTGCCACTAGTTCCCTGCAACCCAAAACCATATGATAAGAACAAAATCATGGAAGCTCATAATTGAAAGACACAAGTATGAATAGAGAACGCTGTAAAGAGCTTTGAGCAAACACCTGTACATGGCGTTTTTATAGAATTCCACGTCCCCGTCCACTTTTAGTTCAACTGCTCTGTCTTTCAATTTCTGAAGCCGTTCTTCATCTGATTCGTTTCTACAGCTTCCCACAAATTGGAGTTTAGGTCGAGGGACGTCCACATCTAGCTTCTTTACGGCTAATGAAAAGGCCTCAAGCTGAAGCATATGAGCCTGGTACAAGACTGTAATTAAGTAAGCAGGACGACTCTTTTGTAACTTTGGAATGTGAGACCATCAAAACTATAGTACCTCATTCTCATAAGTCAAATACAAGTTTCACACTCACCTTCTCAGGACGAAACTGAGCAACAGATATGAAAATCGGAGGATCTGATGATCTTTCAAGAGGAAGTGCCTGCATTAAGCACAAGATGTTAAATATAAACTGATATGTAATCAGAAGACATATAAAACTCATAAGATTCGAGCTGTCTGACGGTAATCACCTGAAGTCCTGAAGTATCACAGGGCGGGTAGACCCGTCTAATCCGGTCTGGAATTCTCCAAAGCACTTCGATATGAGACTTTGTCCACGAAGAGTTGACCATAGCTAGATGAGTGCACGAGCCAACCATCCCATACATCCAGCTAAAAGCTTTATAGTAGACTATTTTGCATGTAGACAACCAATTGCTACCAAACACAAGAATAAACATCATTACCCAATAAACGAAAAAAGGGCAAAACTTTCCAGGTTTGAAACCACCAAAGAAGCAAAGCAGAAACAAAACCTCTTCGCAATTGAAGCGTCGTTGTTATACATGGAGTTCCTTTGACGAACACGAGAAATCATATCCAGGCTGATGGTTGGATAATGAGTGTAGCAAACAACTTTGCAACCAAAGAGGCGAGCAAGAGGATACGTGAACGCATATCCACTGGTGTCAAGGAAATACAAAGGAGTGAACTTGCCTAAGGCTTCCCAAGCTAGATAAACCGAACCAAGACTCTGACCTATCATTGTGAAATGTGGGTAAGTGCTCTCTTCAATCCATTTCCTTTTGTTTAGATGAATCACCTAATCGACACACACACAAGACCAAAACTAAATTGCATCAAAACTTAATCTAAAAGCCACCTTCCAGAATTGAAAATCGCCCCCAAATCTGATCAACCTCTATGTATAAATTGAACTACAAATTAGCTTCAGCTGAATGTTCTTTGTACGTTTTCGAATCGAAAACACATAGAAAAGTGAAGTTGTTGTAAATTAGATGGAGAGAGAGAGAGAAAGGAGAGAGTAATCGGACCTTGGGAGGGAATAGAAGATTGACACCGAAGCGATCGACGGCACGGCGAGCTAAGCTATCAGAAGAAGAGTCATGATCTCCGGTGAAGACGACGAAGTCGAGATCGGGATTCTCCTCCTGAATGGCTTTAACTGCGCACCAGAGCACTCTCTCGCCGCCGCCGCCGTCGTTCGTGTACGGATGGAAGAAACCCACCGCTCGTTTCCTGCTCTTTCTTGCATTGATAACGGAAAGAGATAAACTCAGAGATACGGCGAAGAGTAACGTGAGGAAAGCATAGAGAATGAAACAGATCGCCATGGAAGCAGATCGCTGAGTTTAGTTGCATTCCAAATTCTGAATTCTGAAGAAGCATTTTTTGTTAATTCTTAAATCGTCTTTGCGAATATTGCAGAAAATACCCGAGACTATGACTACATCACAATTATGCCCCATATATCTTAATTTCATTAGTTAAAAAAAAAAATTGGGGGGCTAACTCCAAAACATTAGAATTTTCCTTAACTGGTTAATTTATGATATCAAGGTTTATAATAATGAAAGAAAAAAAAAAATCAAATTCAAAAGTTTAATGCAAGAAATGTCATGTGTGTTTCCTAACTAATCCTACCTCAAAAAAAGGTTTTCATCAAGTAGATTTTGTTGTGGAATCTCCAAAAAAAATTTCAAGCCTAATAAACCCTTTGATTAATTCGACTTGGTTGAGCTAAGCACAATGGAGACATTGTTGTCGTGGGAAAGCCTTGGGACCATCTGAAGCAAACCTACCAACCTTGTGACCATCTTTTCTAATGTCTTTGTGGTTTTAAGCATGAGCTCCATGAACGAAGCCATGTGCTTTGGCTCTAGATTCCAACGAAAGATATTCTCGAATTCCCTCTCTTTCAATCTCCAGCATTGATTTGGAAGCAAGCCATGAGAATCCATGTATTGATCATTTAACTCCTCTTGTACCACAATCTGAGATATTGACAATTCATTTGTGCAAATCGATTGTCAATATCTCAGATTCAACAAACTTAAAATAAAATGGAAGGACATGGTTCTTGGATTTTTTAAACTTTGGCAATAGTTAATTAGAATGGTCAAGAAAAATAAAAAGAGGTTTATGGCGGATATACTAGTATTGTCACGGTTCTTGGCTCCATTGTGTATGTACTATTTTTTTTTTGTATGTACTATTAGTATAACATCCCGATTTCTGGTATATGGAAAGGCTTATAAGAATTGATTTGGCTACCTATGTCAATAAAGTGCACTTATCTTTTTTGGTCAAGTGTGCTGAGAGAACTCCAGAGTTAAGCGTGATGATGTCTGAATAATTTCAGGATGAGTGACTTACCGGGAAGTACTCTACGGTACCGTGCGAGTGAGGACAAAGCACAGAGAAAGATCATGTGGTGATTGCAGGGATAGTAGACAAGTCTTACGAGCCTTCCGGATTAACGACTCCCGACCGTTGGACAGTGGTGGGCTAACGGGCCTAGAGAGGGTGTTGGGCCAATGGGCCTAGAGAGGGTGTTGGGCCAACGGGTCTAGAAAGAGGACGTTGAGCCCACAGACCTAGAAAGGGCGTTGGGCTCATTTGGAGGGGCGGTTGGAGGGAGTTAGGATTGATATCGCCGGTCCGCGCCTGGTTCCTAAATGAAAGGTGGGATCGGAATGTCACAATTAGCTTCTTCAATTCAGGTGAGTTTTGTAACACTCTTATTATGCCAGGAGTTACATATTGAGAGATCATTGTCTCCACTGTCAAAGTTTTCACCTTGAACACCGGAAAAGGTCTGCCCCGGAGCTCGGAAAGAGATAAAATCTAACAAAATTCACAGACAGGTAATGAAATACCAATACATATATAGATCTCAAGAAGTAAAAAAAAAATAAGGAGAAAAACAAGACAAAAACTATTGTAGAGAGACTCATTGAAAATCAAAGCCTAATGAAAAAGAGCTGATTGAGTCTCTACGCCGTCTCCATCACGCTCCTCGTCCGCCATCTTAATTTTTCTTATTTAAAGACTAGGGTTAGGGTTATAAACTTATTATGCAACAGCTTTTAAACGTGCCTTCTCATTCACGTATCTTCAAACATGTATTTGGCCCAGAATATTACTAGGTTTTAAAAGCCTTGATACATCAGAAGAGTAGGTGCAGCAGATTTCCTCATGCGAGAGAGGCTCAGTTGTTCCTCGTGACAAGTTACAGTTGATTTAGTGTATATAAAGTTACAGTAGCTGGAGTCGGCAACAGGCGAGAAGACGTTCAAAATATGGATCGCTAATTGTTATAATTGAATATTGAGTTGATGATGCCATCGTCGTCGACAATAAAACCAAAACATATACTGACATTCTCAGAAGTCAGTAAATCCATTCCAAAGAAAGAAAAAAAATTCATTACGTTAAAGACTTTAATTAGTGATAAACAATATACTACTTTTTTCAATTTTATACGTTTAAAAAATGTGATTACGTTATATTTTACAAATCAAAATATTCATTCAAGATTTTGCATTTTCGAAAAATGATTCCAGAATGTGTTAAGCTAGGTATACCAATCAAGTTTTCATGTGTTTAAAAAACAGTCCTTTTATATATATTCCGCATTTCCATTTTTCAGCTGGCATACTAGTCAAACTTTTTCTGTTATATAACAATATGATACTGCCTATTTTGTGAAATAGCATAAGTTCTTCATTCGATCCTCTCATTTGTGTCACTTGAGAACTTAATAGAACACTGATATGATAATCACCGAACGGGTTGATGAACTCGTATCAAATTGTCTGTTATATCCACCTTATTTACATCCAACCCATATATACGAAACAAAGTTGCAAGCTAAAGGCACTTGGATCTTGATATCCCCAAAAATAGTAATAGATTAGTCATGGTTGACCCTTTAGTTACATGTAATACCGGACAAAATTATCAATAGCTTAAGACCTACTAAAATTAATCAAGTTTTAACTTAATATACTAGCTATGTTAATGAATCATGGCACGAAGTGTTGAAGCTGAACTATGATTAGACTAATATCATCCAAGCACCCTCTCTTACACGATAGCTCGGCTAGTTTCTTGCAAGCAGAAAGTGTATTTGGGATTCTCCACACCTACGCAGTACGGTCGAACCACATCAACCGCCTCTTGGTTCGTTACCTATAACGTCCACGGAAAATCCGGTTCAACATTCATACCGTAGACTAAAAAAATAAAGAGTCAATATTGAGACATTTCGAGTTATGCTTACCTTATCCCAAAGACCGTCAGAAGCTAAGATCAAGAACTCAAATTCCGGTTTAATCCGTAATTTTCTTGTTTCCGGTTCAGCTATTACCCACTCCTTGAGATACCGGTCTCCAATTCCTCGTGAGACGGCTAATGTTCCTTGAATTCTCCAAACGCCGTTGCAACAGTCAACATAACCACCCTACACACACCAACCCCAAACATGTAAACCGGACTCAATCAAACACAAACCAAACCAAACCAAACCGAACTAATATACATCATTTGAATATAGAACTCACCAATGCTTCAATCCTTTTGAGTTCATTTGCTTGAGAAGGATTGTGATCGGTGGTAAGAGCCTCCGCAGCTCCACCGCGGCTTATAACAGCACGGCAGTCTCCGGCATTCGAAACCACAATCTCGCCTTCCGATATCAGAGCGGTTACACAACACGCGCCGCCTCTCGAGCCTTGTTTCAAGAAATCCTCGTCTGTTTTAATGTAACCGTCTCTTATCGCTCTCTCGATCGAGCAACCTTCTTCTTCTGATCTCGCCGCCGCAACCGCCGCTTCAATGTTGTTACCGAGATTCATCGCCGCGAATTCCGCCGCTTTTGATCCGCCGTGACCGTCGAAAACACCGAAAAAAGCCTTCTTGCGAGCTCCTTCGTCGGTATCAACCGCCGCGATATACCGATCTTCCATTGGTCCACGTCTTCCTCTCTTGCAATAAACAGAGTAATATCCGTCTTTCTCTGCTTCAACAACCTCTTCTGATTTTTCCGGCGTCTTAACCGGCGTATTGCACCACGATGCGATCGCCGGAGCTGATGTTAGGTCGAGCATCGGTGGTCGCTTTCTTTTCAACACCGTCTCTGAACCCGTCGTGGTTGTCGTCGTCGTCTCCCTTGGCTTCCTTGGAGGACAAGCTACCATAGTTAGCTTCGGTGGTGTCGAGCGTGGTGAAGACGACGGCGTTTTGACCGACGTCGGAGAAAAAACAAGCGGAGGTGGGAAGAAAACCGGAGATTCGGGTGACATGATTACTGATCTCTTCATCGTAAAATCTTCTGTGTGTTTCCTCTTCGTCTCTCGATTTGTTTGTTTGATCGGATTCTTGGAGAGTTGCATATAAAATAAAATAAATTAAAAAAAGAGAGAAGAAAATAGAAGAAATAGGGTTGCGTTTTTGTTTTGTTTTGTTATGGTTTGGATTTATTTATTTCTTGTTGTTTACGTCTGAGAAAGCAAGGACCTTGTGAATAGCGGAAGAAATAGTGGGCGGTTAGATTTTTTTTATATATGACCAAGTTTTTGGTCAATGGTCAACGACGATTATTTCTCTTTCTACATGCTAATTAACACCTTCGTGACCAAGTCTCTCTCTCTCTCTCCCTCGTAATTTAGTCAAATTCACGTCGGTGCCAAAATTACCCGACTCAATCAATTTCTTTTTTTTTTGCATTTGTTATGAGGCTTTTATTATGTTGCCATAACGAGATCTAGAAATATTTGAATAATTGAATTTGTAGTTGGACTCCGTGATCATGTGAAATCTTTGAATAATTGAATCGTGAACTATATATGGTGCCGTCCATTGAATATGATCGTGTCATTAATTTTGATTATTCATTCAAAGTATTTAATTAATTACGGTCTAGTAAATGTTCCGATATATAAGCGCTCATTCTCAAGCGTCGGATGATTTGTTTTCCTTTGAAATTGTTTTTTTTTTTTTAAAAAATCTTATGAAATGGATTGAAACAATTTTATCTGCAATCTAGTTAATTAAAAAACGATTCACGCCAAGTTAATAAACGGAACGCACATACATACATATGATTTTATCCGCTGCAAAAATTCGTAACCCAATGGTACACAATCTTTTCGAACTAGATGTATGATTCTGAGTTTAAGAATGTTAGCTACATAACACAATATAATTAGGTTGTAAATTAAGATTTAGCTGGGGAACTAGTACTTTCTGGTTTCATTCTACTTTTGATCAACTATGTATGCATCAAAATTATTAGTCTATAGCACTAGATTTCTGCAGTCATACTAAATAATCTAGAAGTATAGAAACCATCAAATTTCTTAAAACCTGGTCAATGTTAGTATGTTACCTTATGAATAAATGAATAAGTAAATGATCCGATCCCAAAGGTTTTATGGGATATTGGGATGTACTAATATTATTCGTGAATATCAGTCAATAGACTCGAAGAAGAAAGATACAATTGAAACATATCCATTTCAAGAAAAGCTTCATATTACCAGAGTTTGGGTATTGTGATATACAAATTTTGTGCTTATATGCTTAATCGTTAATTTTGTCTACACTCTATTGAAAGATTAGCTTCGTCTATTCAACTTTCATGAAGGGTATTAATCACCCCGAATGAATTTTTAAGATTTTACTAGTAAGGAAAAAGTCAATCTATCTTACACCTGGCAAAATGTATTGTATTCATTTAAGGAAAGATGAACAAAGTCACGATTTCAGACATCATACAATACGTAAGTGTGTATGTATTAATGTATAGATGATTGGGGAACAGTTGACCCTAACTCGTCATCGGAGCAGAAATAATTTCTATCCGAAGGATCAGCCTCAGGTCGGCCTTTTTTGACTTGGCAAACCGTTTTTTTTGATAAAGGACATAATATGGATATAACTGTTTGAAACAAAAATAAGTACACATTTATGAAACAAACCAAATATGTCACATGTCATACAAAGTTTAACGATTGGATAGTTGGTAACCTAAATACTGCACACATATCCCAAGCTGTGGAGAATGTCACAAACAAATCATTGTGATGGTCAAAAACTGAGGGGCAAATATATTTATTTTATTTATATTGGTTTTGATATTAAGAATGAGGGCCACAGTTGTCCTTCAATCTAATTAAGAACTCGACGAGAGCAAAGAGAAAATCTTCTACCGGTTATTCGATCGTAAACTATTACAATTGTTTTATGTACACTGTTTCCTCACTTTTTCTAAATACATTCATAAGTATAGAACTTGTATCACGAATTATCATTTATTTATGTCATTGCTGCTTTCAAAGAGAAAAATTTTCCAATAATGATCGAATACAATATCTGTATCACCATATTGAGTTGTGAGTATTCTTTTCCGGTGGCATACGTTGTCATCTCGTATTAACGAACTTTCAAATCGAGATTTCAACATAATAAGCTCTGTTATCATATACAACTTCAAAAACCATATATATCTAGAGCCTAGTAGCTTACTAATTAACTTCGACAGTGGTGTCGTATATTGAGTTCATTTTGAGTTGTCATACGTTTATTAAGTTGTAGAAAGCGTACAAGATTTTGGCATTTTTTCATGGCTTTGTAGTTTTCTTACATTGTGCATCACTCTTTTGGTTTTGGGATTGTATTCCCACATCTATTATATTAAAATAGAAGCACATTTAATATTTGCTTCCAAACACTCTTAATTTTTTTAAGTGTTTAAAAATAATTTTAATAATTATTTATATTTAATTTCGAAAATTAGTTATTAATTTAAATATTTTTAGAGTTCCTTAAATATAGGTAATTTAGATTTGATTAAAACTAATAAATCAGATATTAATTTAGATTTGATTTAAAGATTCTAATTTAAATAATTTCTATACTATTAAACATTTTTATTAAAAATATCTAGAATTTTTGAAAAAAAAAAATCAATATTTTCGCTTATTAAAAAATATATTTATAAAATTAATTATATCTAAACTCAAAAACACAAATTATATTACAAAATTCGTTAAACAATAAAAAATAGGAGGATGCACGGGGTTAGAATCTAGTTTATACGTTACATAGAATGTAGTCAAATAATATTGAACTAGGTGTTTAGCCCGCGACTTGCGCGGGCCGAAAATTTTCATTAAAACCTAAAATAAAATTTTATGTCATAAATCAAAAATAGTTAGATCAAGAATTTGATACATACAAAATTAAAATAAAGCTAATCTATGAAAGTAATCATTGTCTAACATTAAAAACTTTAAAATCAATACTAATAAGTGTATGAAATCAATAAACATAAATTAAAATAAGATTAATATAAATTATTCATCTTTTTCTCTTTTTATCCTTTAATTTTTTTTTCTCTATCATTTTCTTCTTTCTTTCTTTTTTGTTTTTTTGTTTTTTTTTCTTCTTTATTTCCTATGTCTTTTTTTTTACTTTTTATTCTGCTGGTTTTTCTTTTTTCACGTCTTCTTCTTCTTCTCTACATCTTTTCCTTTTTCCTCTCATATATTTTTTGATTTTCTTTTCTTCCAGGTTTTATTTCCTTTCTTCTTCTTCTTCAATGTTTTATTATTCTATTTCTTCTTCTTTTTTTCTTTTCCTTTTTCATTGTCATCGTCTTCTTCGTTATCACCGACTTCCTATTCTTTTGGTGTTTTTCGGCTTTTACCTCATCTTCATATTCTTCTACTTTCTCCAATTCCTCATCTTTTAAGGTTTTCATCCAATTTTTTCTCTTCCCTATCTTCTTCTTCTACTTTGTCTTCTATTTTATTTTTTTTCTCCTTCAACAGATTCTTATTCCTCTTCTTCCAATTATTCTTTCTCTCTCCAAATTCTTCATCATATTTTAAAGATCTTTGTCTTATCTGTCTTTTTACTCCTCTTATGGTTTATATTTTCCTCTTTTTAGTTTTTTCCTTATATTTTTGAGTTCTTTTTATCCGTTATTTGTTTCCAAATCGTTTCTTCTTTATTGTCTTCATTTTTTTAACTTCTTATTCATCTGATTTGTCTTCGTTTTTTCATCCATATTTACCTTTTTCAGCTTTGTCTTTCTTCATCTTCTAGTTTTCTTCCCAATGTGTTATTTTTTCTTTCACTTCCTCTACTGTCTACTGGTTTTCTAATATGACTTCCTCTTCTGATTATCTTTTTTCTTCTCCAATTGGTCATTTAATTTGTTGTGTTCATCGTCATCGACCTATCCGACTATTTTTTTATCTTACTTGTTCACTATATTATTTTTTGTTCTTATTATCGTTGTTTTCTTATTCTTCTTCTTTTTCTTTATTTTTTAGCTTTTCTATTCTTTGTTTTTTCCTTCTTATCTTTCATTTTTTTTTGACTATTTCTTCTTATGTATTTTATTCATCTTTTTTGACTTCTTGATCTTTTTTTCACTCGATTTTTTCTGTTGATTTTTTTTTTGTTTTATTTGTCTGCCCCTTCTTCTTTGTTTTATTTTATTGTCTTTGTATTCTCTAAATTCTTATTCTTCAACATCTTCTACTATTCTTCTTTTGGTTTTATTAGCCGTTTTTATCTTGTGCTTTTTACTTCTTCTTGATCATTTTTGTCGTATCCAAACATTTTTTCTTTCTAATTTTTGTTTGTCTTTTTTGCATCTTTACTTTCTTCTTTTTTATTTTCTTTTTCATCGTCGGATTTTCATCTTCTTATACTTTATTTTCTTCATCTACCATTCAGTGGCGGAGCCACAAATTTTCTTCACTGGGGGCATCAATGGAACATACATAACTTTATGAATGGGGGCGTTAATAAATTACTTTATAAATTGCACCATTTTATAAAATTTACTGGGGGCATATGACCCCAACCTAAACTATGTGGCTCCGCCACTGCTACCATTTTTGTTCTTCTTTTTCTTTCAGTTTTCTTCTTCAACTTTGAGTTCTTCATCTCGATCCTTATCATTTTTCTTCTTCACTATTTTGTGTTACCCATCTTGATCTTATCGTTCATGGTCTAGGACTTTTTGTTCATTTTTTCCTCATTTTTTACGTTTTCGTCAACTCTATGTTCTTCTATATGTTTCAATTTATCTTTTTTCTCTTCTTTTTCTACTTCGTTTTTCCCTTTTTTCTTTTTTCTGTTATCTTTTTCGATTTTTTCCTCTGTGCCTTGCTAGTGTATTTGGCATCTCTTACATTATTCCAAAAATAAACAGAATTCAGAAAACCATACTTAAAACAAACAAAAAAAACAAAAGACTTAAAACTTGTTCATTAGACAATGAAGATGATTTATGATATGTTGACATGGTTTTAATCACGTTAAGTAAGGAAGAATAACTGACAACACAAAACAACAACATGTAATCGAGGAACACTACTACTGGTACTGAAAAACGGAAAAAACAATAGAAAAAATCGAAAAATTGATTTATAAAAAAATAAAGATGGCAAACAATACAACAAAAAGCCGACCAATGTAGAAACCAAACCAAAATTGAGCTTAAAATACATTTAAAAAGGTAATATATTTATATATAGCTCTTAATTTAAGTTAGGATTTCCCACATCACATATATATTTTTTCCCAGATAATTTTGCTCAACAGATAATTCGATTAAAATTATCTTAATATTATCAAAATAACTAAAAGTGGCAGCAAAATTGTTATACAAACTACGAAAATAAATTAATTAATTAAGGATAGTTAAAAAAGATTTTATTAACAAATAAAAGGGAATTAGTTACCTAAATTGAATGAGAGACCTTATAGCAAAAAATTTACTTCGCATATATTATATATGATATGATTTTAAATATTTTTTTGATTAAATTCTAATTTTTAAATTTTCGTTATTTTCTATTTTAAATATTTTTTATTAAATTTAAATTTTTTTGATTAAATTTCGATTTTTAACAATTTTTTATTAATTTATTTTTAATATTTTATTTAATTTACGATTTTTAATAATTTTTAATTAATTTATAATTTTTTTATTAAATTTAATTTTATAAAATATAAAGAGGGGTAAAAGGTAATTGGTAATTAGCCATCCTAAAATTAAATGAGAGAGCTTTAACTCAAAATTTTACTATTCCATGCTTATTGGTTTTTTTTTTTTTGGCTAAAAGTTCGATGCTTATCTGTATCAGGACGTTATAAACAATTTAATTCAGAATTTTAATATTCATAATTGTTGCGATTTTGGGGTGGAAGACTTTTCCCGGTAGATTAATCTAAGAATCGCTATCACTATGCATGGACCACCTAATGTCAACGAGTTTTGACCAATTGATATACCTAATTAACCATAAGGAAAAAAAAAATAGAGTGAACGACTTCCAACATTCAAATCAAACTCACACATATTGTCCATATGCGTCAAGATTGTAGGGTTCTCTTTGACGTAGTGATATTCATTCTTCATTTGGCTAGATTGAGATAGTTTATATCTGCAAACACACACAATAAAAATTGGGTTGGGGGTATAGTTAAAGGGCACGCGGTGAAGAAGCACGGCACTTCCAATTTCCAAGTATACGTCAGCTAATCCAATCAGGCACGTGGCATGTCACTAGCAAAGAAGAGCACACGCATGACGTACCGATTGTCCCTGATTCACCACGTCGAACCTCCACGTGGCGACAAGAAAAATGACATCCGCAAAAAAATCGAATATATATATATCGACTCATCTCTTCAAGTCTTCGTGTCATCATCATCAAGTCGTTGGGGTTTATTTAAGTTTTGTTCTGTGATAAAAGAAGCTAAGTTTTTTAAAAATAACTTGTGTTGTAAGTACAAGAGCCATGGCGTCTCAACAGGAGAAGAAACGGCTAGACGAGAGGGCCAAGAAGGGAGAAACCGTCGTGCCAGGTGGCACTGGAGGCAAAAGCTTCGAAGCTCAACAGCATCTCGCTGAAGGTGTCTCTCTCACTGCATAATGTTAATGATTTTTTTTATTTATTTCATGGTTGCGTATGTGTCAAGTTATAGATATTATGTTAATGTTTGTGGAATTTTGTATGAAGGGAGGAGCCGAGGAGGGAATACAAGGAAGGAGCAGTTAGGAACTGAAGGATATCAGAAGATGGGACGCAAAGGCGGTCTTAGCACCGGAGAGACGCCTGAGGTGGAAAACACTGAGGAACAAGGAGACGAGAAGTACGAACCCAAATCCAAAACCAAGACTTAATCCAAAGTTTTCGATGGATGTGTAATAAACTAATAATATGGTTTTAAATCTTTCCACGTAGTTAGACGTCGTGTTTGGTTTCCTGTATTAAGTTCTTTTTTACTTAAACTGGATGATGATGACCATGTGTGTATGGTTTCGTCCACGTTATAAGTTTGGTTCGTGTTTCGTTTGTTTTCAAACAGGGGAGTGTTTAGTCTTTTTGATGAAGAAAGAAAATAATAGATCTTCCTTATTAGATATAGACGCATCTCTTTCGAAAGAACTTGAAAATGTGATGCCCTACAATCGGCGAGGAAAGTTAAAAATTTACAGAAAAATGAAGGTAACACACTTGAGCTGATCAATAAATTTACTTCCATATAGAGAGCTAAAAAGGAAATTAACTGAGCTCTCTTAACTGTAGCTATTCACTCTCTTAAGCGATGAATAGTTGACAGAACAAATTCAACCATGTTTTGGAGTAATTTATCATTGGATTTCATAAGATTCATGTAGCCGACTAGAAAATTAACCGGTGTATGTGTATAATTGAGATTAATATAATAAAATACGGATGATGTAAATTCACTTTGGATCTTCAAAGTGATCCGCTTGATCCCTATATATTTGATGGTTACAAATATCCGATTCCATCCCTTTATACTTTTTTATTTGTTAAAGAACTTTTATTAAATTAGGAAATTAAAGCAAATTACAAACAAAAATAACTTATGATTTAGTCTGATTTTTAATGCATACTGTTTTATGTGCATAGACGTGACATAAGCTAGCATAACAAGTTTTAAAATCCCATTGATTGCCATAAATTATAATCTAATGAATCAATAATGAACAGCAGTTTCTTGTCGTAAGTTGTTGTTTAGTTAACAAGATGATGATGTTTCGCCCACGTTTATGCGTTTGGATCGTGTTTCGTTTGTTCTCAGACAGCAGATTGTTTAGTCTTTTTTAACTTGGCTGAAGAAAGTAAATTATAGCTCTTTGCCTTTAGATGTAGCACTAGTTTTATAGCTCTTTGGCTGAAGAAAGGTCTCCAAAGGGTACTTAAAAAGAAAAAAAGGAAATTGGTATATTTGGTAACCAATCATCCGGTTCAGCAATAGTCTCAACTAGACCGATTGATGATCCACTGTTTAATTAATTTTTGGTTTTACAACTAACCGGTTCTCCACTATTGCCCACAATACTCACAGACACTGACTGCTGTTTTGTTGGCTGGAATTTTGAAATTTTGCGAATGCATTCAATCAGAAAAGCAACTACGAAAAAAATATATTAAGTTGTGTGGATAATATACAGAGAGAGCAACTCGTTCCATGTGTCTGGCAATCCCGGAAGGCACCAGTGATAACAATCGGCGAAGGTTCTCGGATCCAATTTCTGCTCCGGTGTTATCAGTTTCCCACTCCTCGACCCGTAAAAGGAGGTGTGCCCATCTTTCCTGTACTCTGACATTGTTGTTACGTCAAGAAAATTTATCTTCACTCTGCTGGTGGATTTTGTCACATTCACTGCAATTTCGTAAAACCTTCGATTTGTTCCAACATCTATTGGTTTGGACATGTCGAGTATAGGTTCTGTCTCCTTCTCGCACTTGCTGCTTCCTCCATCGACGCTCCAATCTGAACTCCTGTTTGCAGTTCAATGTGTCTTTAATCGAAATTGAAAAAACGAACAGTCTCCGCAAAAAGTTGGAGTTTTTTTTTTGAAGTACCTGACATGAGCTGGTGACATGCTGCTGAAGAAGATTGATGTTCGATTTGAGTCGATGTTTTGTTCTAGCCAGTTTGCCCATGTCCGTAGCACTTGTTCGTACATGACGTAGATTCCGATTTCGTTATACTCTTTTGATCCTTGGCTGAAAGATCCTTGTTTTCTTCAAAGCAACATCATCAAGGTAGAAACTTTTATCAAGGTCTTATAACAGCATTGGCAAAAATTGAAGTTTGATCACTTACAGAACTTTGATCTTGGAGTTTCTGGTCCACCATATATACGTGTTGAAAACGAGAAAGTCTGCGTCTTTCCAGCTCTCGCCGTGCTTGGAGATTGATCGAGGCATGATTATTGGTTCCGTTTTGCCATCTCTCTTGTCTGGAGGATCAGCATTTGATTCGACTAAGAAAGGTGCCCAGTAAAATGCTATGGTCGTGTTGTACTCCTACACATTCAAAGAGAGATCAGATTTGGATTTCTTTTTGCTTCTTGGATTATAACATTTACTCCTTTTAAGACCTCTATATTGAAGATTGACATTTGTGCTGTGTGGTTTAAAGTCTTTTTGCCTGAGGGAATGTTGGACTGGACCATACAAACCATGGACTGCCATTGATTATAATGTATTGAATCACCAATGAACATCAGTTTCTTTCCCTTGAGTTTCTCTAGCAGCAGCTTCGCGTCAAACCTAGAAACCCAAAAAAACAGAGTCTATTTGAGAGAAGAAGGAGAAGAAAGTGTAACTCAATTTGCTACTCTTTGTTCTCAGATTTCTAGAACTGACTTTGGCAAAGAGCAATCTCGTGGTTGCCATCTCCATTTCTGGTACTTTGAGTCTGGCCTCCCGTTTCTCGTACATGCCACCCACTCTGTGAGAAATTCACATTCGTCTTCTTTGTATAAAGGATGTGTTACATTATCCAGAACCCATTTTCCTGTGAAAACATCACAGGCTTCTAATGGCACCAGATTAATCTTCTTGTCTTCATCTTCTTTAGTTTGTTGTGGTGGACTAATGTGTTCTTGTAGGTTATGTGTCTTGAACTCTCGAAACTGGCTAATCCTCAGGTTCTCATTGTACAGATAGCTTCCAAGAAGGAACACGGGAAGAACAATGACTGCTAAGTACAGAATTGGAAGGTAAGCATTCCTCTGTGTACCACCAAATTGTTTCATCTTATTAGATTCTTTTGTTTCTGAGACATATGAGAGAAATGGTTGAACAATCCTGAATGTTGGGTCGTTTTTTGTTAATCAAAAGCTCGTAGCTTCAACTAACTCAACATCTTTTACAATCATGGAGCTGATGATACACACCTGCTTTATTTTATTTTGTTTTCCCCTGATAATACAACACCTACTTATCTTGTCATTTATTGTATATTGTAAATTGTAATATACTCCATGTGAAATGTTCACTTTTTTTTAACAAATGTCTTGAGACATGTGTGAAAAAATTCTTGAGATTGTCAATTTAGTAGCAGTTGGCTTTGCAGCAACGATTTTTTTACTATTTTTTTGGTCAACCTTTAGGTGAGCCCTCACAGACGTAACATGCCCTTCTTTTAATTACCTCAAATTCCAATTTGCTTTGAAATGGGAGTTTTTTTGTAGCATTGATGAAAGACATGGACATTAAAGGTAGAGTTCTTTAGTTGTTTAGTCATGTATCTTCAGGAGACAAAATTGTTTAAAGAACTTCGTGTTAAACCGAGAGCCATGTATCAATTGTTAGGTTTCACCTGAAATTATTGTTTTGGTTTAATGTTAAAAAAAAAAGTATTGTTTTGGTTTTGCATTCTTCATTATTCTTTGCCTATAATGTTTGAAATAACGTATAACCGACTTGAATAAAATCATGTGGGAAACATTTCAAGGCTTAAATTAACAAACATTCTATGGCATACATTTTGGCTCCCACTATAAATCTGTTTTGATTTTCATCCTATATACATCACAAGAATGTTTTTTGATTAATGAGAGAATCTAACGAATGTCATGTTTTTTGGTCATGACGATTTCGAAATAATATGCGTATAAAGAAACTCATTCCAAGTATCGGGGAGGCCAGGTAAGCACCAGTGGATACAGTCGGCAAAATTGGCCGGATCGTTCTGCTGCTCTCGAGTCAGCAACTCGCCTTGCCTGATGGTGTAAACCGAAGTATGTGCATCTTTACGATACTCGGACAATGCAGTGATGTTGAGGAAATGAATAGGAACTTTGAGAGACTGCGTGACGTTTTCCACCACCGAAAACAGCCTGTAGTCCGTCCCCACCTCTGAATACAGCCTGTAGTCCGTTCCAACGTTGAACGTCATCGACGTGTTTAAGATCGGTGTCGTCTCTAAAGCACACATTATACCCTCAGGATTCCCCCAATCCAAACTCCTAATTAGATCATATGACGATTAGTCATTAACACAAAAAAAAAGAGATTAAATTAATCGAGGGAAGAAATTAATTACTTGATGTGGAGAGGAGACATGCTCATGAAGAAAACGGTTGTACGTAGAGGATCAATGTTATGGTCCACCCAATCTCCCAATGTCCTTAACATCCTCTCGTACGCTATTGGCCGTTTGATCTCATCATATTCCGTGTCACCTTCATCGAACGATCCACGTCTATATCACCATTCACACAATCTTTAGTCCTCAAATTCATTATTACATGACATAGACACATGGATATGTGTGTATTAGTGATTTAGTGTATAGTAAAACTTACAAGACTTTGATGGAGACAGTATTCATCCACCAGATGTAACTATTGAAGATAAGAAAGTCAACGCCTTTCCAGTTGACTCCATGCTTCTCGATGGACTCTGGCATTATTATACGATCGATTATACTGTGCTTTTTCGGATCGTCTGAATTCGATTCCACCAGAAATGGCGCCCAATAAAACTCCACAGTCGCGTTATAGTCCTTTTTTATTTTTATTTTCAAAAAACCCCCAAAAATAATAAGAAACTATAAAATACAAATGTCATTAGTGTCAGTGTCAGTGCTATTACTTTACCTGGACTTGGAAAATGGTGAGAGAACCGGTCTGGTTCAAGCTTTTTCTACCGGGAGGAACCACTGATTGAACCAAACAAACCATTGATTCCCATTGATTCCGGTTAAGCGAGTCACCGACAAACATCAATCTCTTGTTCCTCAGCTTCTCTAGCAACAATCTCGCTTTGAATCTTTCAAAACCAATCAGAAAAGCACTTATTGAAAACCAAATCGATCAAATCCGAAGAAGTGAAAACAGAGCATTCTAAAACAATTGGCTTTACTTTGGCAAAGAACAGTCTCTAGGTTGCCATCTCCAATTCTGAAACAGAGAATCTTTCCTTCCGTTTCTTAAGCAAGTTACTTGCTCCGTCAAGAACTCGCACTGTTCCTCTTTGTACAATGGATGCGTCTTGTTGTCGAAAACCCATTTTCCGGTGAAGAGATCGCACTCCTCTGGCGGCAACTCCACGTCGCCTCCGTCTTCAAATAGATTATAGAATGGGTTCGAAGATGTCAAGAAAGCAATGGATTTGACGTTGTCATTGTACATGAAAATACCGACGAGGAAAAGGGACAAGACGATTACGAAGATTGAGAGATTAGTCTTCTTCCTCTGCTTCATGATCGCTCCTGTTTCCAACTATGGAACTCTTGCTTTTGAGGGTTGCTTCTGATAAAGAAGTAGAAGAAGAGTAAAGGAGAAAGAAGAGGACTTAAGTCAACACTTAAGTAAGTGTCGGTATGTGGCTCGGAGAGAGAACACGGATGAAAGAGAGACTAGAGAGAGAGAGAGAGATGGACATTAATCATATAACAGAAAAGAAGAAGATAAGGATTATTAAACATTTTATGAGTAATGCGAAATAGACGTTGGTATGGTATTGGTGGATTTGGTGATTTTGGTCTTAAAAGCCTAAATGGTGGCCACATAATTTTTCCTTTGTTTCCTCGTTAGAATTAAAAATGAAAACTCTCTCCTCACATCATAGACTTAACTAATTATGGAGTTTGGCAACCTATTTTTTTTTTTTTTTAAAAATAGTTATTGTATATGAGTGAACTTGTCTCAATTCACCCTGGGCATAAAAACCGGAACTGAAATACCGAATCGGAACCGACCCGAAATTTTCAGTTTGGTTCGGTTTCAGTTATTGCTTAAATACCCATTAAATCTCATATCTAAGATTCATGGATATCGGTTCGGATCTGGTTATTACCCGGAACCGAAAATACCGAACCGAATACCCGAAAATTATGTATAAATTTGGGCCATTACTCATTAATATAAAACAATTAGTTTGCTACAAATCTAATATTAGCCTATTAGTAATTCAAAGTTATTTTTACTTGATCTAACCCATTACCCACAATTCGACACATATACAAAGGAAAAAAAAAAACATACACAAAACTATACACCTACACATGCAACTTATCGTTGTAAAAAAAACAGTTTCTTTATCTTCTCTCGTTAATACTTAAAAAATTAACTCTAATCATTCAGAAAAACTGAAATCCCTATTTCCAGTCATTGTAACATTTTTTCGTCGGCACAGCCATCTGCTACGTTAAAAAGTCAGTCGGGGGTATGCTTCTTTTCCATCTCCTTCTCATCTTTGAATTTATTTTGGGTTTGGGGTTTACTGTTTATAGCTAAAATCGATTTTGGGGCTAACTATTTCTGTTTGTTTAAATTTTAAATTGATCTCATTTCCTCTTTGTTTTTTCGTTTTTACAACGAATTACTCTTGAATAATCGAGTCTCTAGAGTCTCTTCACTTAGAAATAGATTTAGGGTTTACTATTTATATATGAAATCCATATGGTGTTAACTGTGAGTCTAATATCTGAGATTATGAGTGCTAACTTCTTCTTTGTTAATGATTCTAATGATTTTTTTAACTCTTTTTGTTTTGTTTTTGCAGTTTCAGGTCACAAGAGTCGCAAGTCATGCTTCTTCTTTGTTATTTGGTTATTTTTGTTAACAAAATTTTTTCGGGTATTTAAGAACCAAAATTTTTTGAGTATTTTACGGTTCTCATCCTTCATATCCGAACCGATCTGGAACCGAGAGGTACCGAACCAGAACCGAACCGAAAATAATTCGGTATCTATATGGATCTAAAACTTGAGAACCGAAATATCCGGAACCGTTCGGTTCTTATCCGGAACCGAACCGAATATCTGAAAGCCCAGGACTAGTCTCAATCTCTACCTAAAGATTAAATGTAGAAGCAGCTTAATATCAATTACTTTTCCCTCGTCAATTTTAGAAGCATTCTATTCTAGTACCATTATAATTTCTCAAATTGTTGATGGTACAATTGAAAATATAAAAGCTGCTACAAATCTGAATCTCAAATCCATGTATAGTTTATATTTTAGCAATCTCGATGATAGGTGATCAGCATTAATACACATCGATAACACCAAGAAACGAAATATTTTATGCGATATTGACACATAGTTGGAATTTCCTTCGTAGTATAAAACAAATAGACCACATTTTCATATCGTTCTTACTGAGACAAAGAATCAATGGACTAACGTTGTTAGCTAGCTCTAATAGTTTGAACTATTTCTGGCTTTCAGTACTTTGTTCTCTTTACTAATCTTCTAATCTTCCCCAATCTAAAATATTACCACTGAGATTAAGCTATCACAAAAGCATAAATATCACAAACAAGTGCAAAGCTAGTAAGATCCTTCAGAGAACATTTGAACTCATTCATCAATTATTTGCTTTTAATCATTACATAGTGTCACAAAAGACAAGAGAATGACAAGAAATATATAAAAGAACAAGAGAATATAATCATATATCATATACTACTAGCAAACTGTGGGGTCAAACACAAATCAAAAAATTATTGCCAGATTTGTTAGATTCTGTGTAGAGAGGCCCTAGAGGAAAAGCAATCAAATCTCATTCTTTCTTTCTGCTTCTTATGCCACAATCTGCTGCTTCTCATGGTCTATGTACATTTGCTCTGCCCACGAAGGCAGCTTAAACCTGTCTCTACCTTCTGCTCCATTCACCGTGTTCCCAACCCTCTCAGTCATTCCAAAGGCTCTCTCAGGTGCACTCTCTTTCACCAGTGAGTTCACCCACGACACATCTGGCTCGTCGCTGTAGTCTCTAGCAGGACGCGACATATTGTTGCCGTTCCCGTGAATGCCAAAGGAGGCGCTTCTCCTAAGCTTGTTCAGCTCCTCTCTCTGCATCCCCCACTCGAGCTTCCCGTTCGGTGAACCCCAATCCGAGACATTAGAAGAAGTTACAGGAGCTGGTTTGAAGCTCAAACTCCGTTTTGCAAAAGCAGAGGATCTTGCTTTCATCACTGCAGCTGCCATGGCTGCAGAAGATTCAAACCCTTGCCTCACAGGTGAAGACGGATAGTGGTTCATCTGAGAATGCCTGCTTGGAGATTGAAGCTGCATCACAGAAGAAGAAGAATCATAAGATCCGAAACTCTCTTCGAGGTTTGATGACTTGTAATCACTGAGCCTGCGAAGCCTAAGCTCCATCTCAACGTCCATATCTCTAGCGCTCAAACTCGACTTCAATCTGCTACTGTTAAGCTGTAACGGTGGTGGTGTAAGGCTATTAACTCTGTTCTGCCACAACCCACCATTGTTCCTTGGAGACAAAGGAACACCATTATTAGCCATAGGAGAGTTCATCGGCGATGAGCCTAGAGTCAAAGGAGACATAACAGGCATCTCAGGAGACTGGTTACACGACCTAGGTGAAACCATTGCAGAGCCAGTGGAAGCATTAACAGGTCTCAGCTCATCTCTTCTATGCGCAAAGAAACAGACTCTCCTTGCACAACCTGTCTCATCTTTACAAAGCCGTGTCCTATACTGCGCTGGGTGAAGCCAAGACTCGAAAACACCATGTGCATACTCGCAAGAATCTCCTTTAGGACAAGACCCTTTACGAAACTCAGGGCAAGGAACACAAGTGTAAGGATACTTCCTTGGATCTCTCCTTCTCGCGTTCTCACCTGGATGAACAAAAGGACATTCGGTCCAATCATGCGAGTAAGCTCTCGAACAAGGCTTAACCTTGAAGCTATACATCCTAAACTCGTCTGTTCCGTAAACACCTTCGTTGATATCAGGAAGCGATGCATCAGCTGGATACTTAGTCATAACAACACTCTTCACTTCCTCCTCCTCATCTTCCATCAAACTAACCGAGCCATGGTTTCCGGTTAACAGAATCTCAACCGCTTTTCTACTCTGGTTAGGTACAAACCGGGAAGCTCGAACCAATAGATCGACCGGTTTGTTCCCATTAGCGTCAAGGCAATTAGGCGAAGCGGAAGCATCAAGCAAGATCTTGATGACTTCAACGATAGAGACAGAACAGCCAGAAACCGCACAGTGGAGAGCAGTGACTTTCTCGTCGCCGAAAACTCTGTTCACATCGGATTTTCCAGTGGCGATTATGTAATTTAGAACATCGATGCTTCCGTACATAGCAGCGACCATGAGAGGTGTTCTTTCTTCGAAACCCATCTTTTTCGACCCGACCCGTCTGCAATACCAGAAACCCGGCTCGTCGATTTCCAGAGATTTCTCTTCGATCTCTCTCCTGAACGATGGAAGATCGTCGCAGGCGGCTAATTCGAGAAGACACGTGGCGGCGGCGACGCCTTCTTCTTCCTCTGATTTTCGCCTCATTAATTCGGCTTCGGTTAGTGTTTTTGAAGAGCAGAGGTTGCTCTTTGAGCCGCACATCTCTCCTGTGAGTTTCAAAGGTGAAAACAACCGTAAGGAGAAAGAAACAAGACAATCACTGAGGAAGAGAAAACCGTGCAATAGAGTTTGAATCTAAATTTCTATTGAATCAAGCTCTGCTCAAAATTTGTCTTCTTTTTAAATTATCAAACAGGAAAAAGGTAAGGTTTTTAAGCTGAAGAATCTTGAAGAGTTATGACTAATGAAACCAAATCTTCAAATATGAAATAAATTTTCTTAAAGAGGGATGAAAATATCAGAAAAAAACTAAAATGAAATCAACTCAGAAATGGATAACAGGGAAGAAGGAAAGGGAAAGGCGCATACCTGGAGAAGAAGATGACTTGCAGGAGGAAATCAGTAGACAAGTTACAAACTTTGGGAATTGAGAAGGAGAAGTAGAAGAAGGTTGGGTTTTTGAAGAAGGATTTAATTGAGAAATGTAAGGCTCCTTTTAAAAGAGAGCCTCGTTGCGAAGAAGGAGAGAGGAAGGTGCGCTCTTTCTTTCGTCTACCTTTCTTGGTCTCCTTTTCTTTGATATATATATATATATGTAATATTTACTTTCTTTTTAAAATTGTTTTGTTTTGTTTTGTTTCCTTCTCTTCGTTGAAATGGTTTAGGTCAAAAGTCAAAACTGGGGGGAACTTTTAAAAGGTAAGGATGTCGCTGTTTTGCTGACTGTTATACTCAATTTGTTTAGTCTTCTTTCTTCTTAAAAATATTATAATATCCTCCTGTCTCATTGATTTTTGCAAAATGTCATTTTTAATGATCTAAAAAGCAAGTTTCTTGAAGGATATAAACAATACCCATTCTAAAATTTACAAGAAAAAGTCTCAACCGGATGTATTTATCATTTCTAGATAATTAACCTTTTGTAGGTTGAGTTTTCTAGATTAGAGTTCATGTACTTGTTTGTTTTTTTTATGACTCAAAACAATTGTTGATTTTGTATGTTACCTACTAAATTTCTAATCAAATAACTTTGTTTTGATTATAGAAAAGAATCAAAATCTCCAAGAGAATAACCTAACCCATCGAGTTCAGGCGCTCCTATTGCTGCTAACTCACCATAGAAAATAACCAAATATACATGAATAGCACCAACATTATACAGTTATTCGTTCTCAATATTTGTAGTGTATCTATAATATTATTTTGGTTAGAGAACCTAGACAATCTTTAAGGTGGAAAACAGACTGCCAATTACATAATAGTTTAGTATAATATGGGAAAGATAGTTCAAATTTCAAAAGACATTTAATTTTTACATCTGGCTAGATCTACTGTTACTTATTTATTTATTCATATGCACGATTATTTCATATAAATGCATGGGTGTGCCGTGTGCGGGCGTGTGTGTGACCAGAAAAATGTATGGGCAAAGATCCCTGAGATATTAATAATTGTTTCCAAATATAGATCCTAAAGAAAAATTTGTATTAAGTAAATTATTCAAGGAGTAGAGATAGTCATTAGATATGTGGTGTGGTTGATAAGTGGTAAATGGAAGTTGGGGATGTGTAAGGGACCCACCATTCGACTAATTGACCGACTTAGCAGGTAACCCTTCCACACGCGTGTGAGTGTCCATGTACTGTTACACGCGCTTTCATTAGCACGTGGGGGCTACTGCGACTACTCTTTTACAAAGACCTCTGTTCTCTTCTTATCCGCTTCACCAAAACAAAACAATTATTTTAATAAAAATCTACAAATAATACACTAATAGTAATTTATATAAATTAAAGTATTAAACCACTACAAAAAAATGTGTTCAAATCTTAAAATACATATTTTTAAGTTTAAGAACCTTCATAATTTTCTTATAAACCCAAATCTGAAGGTAATTTTAGAAAAGAATATAAAACTTTGAATATGAAAATTATATAAAATTCAAATTAAAATAAGATAAATAAGAAAGCTATTAAACTAAAATTTATATAAAAGTTAGTTTACCAAGTACAAGATTCTTCTTTTTTTTCATAAGAAATATGAATACTTTTAGACACAATTCTATAACGAAGTACTTTACTAGTATTTATGTTTACTGCAGTGACTATATAAGAAAGTGATATTGAGTGCTTTAAACAAATTTTATAAACAAAAGTTAAATATAAAAATATAAAACATTGAAACTAGATATAGAAAATGTTAAACACGATTATTTGATTGTGTAAGTAAACATAGACATTTAATTCCTTACAGTTTTAATTAAAACCATTGCAGATGTAATTATAATAGTGTAAATTTCAGTGATATAAAAGTTTAGACTACAATTTTTTCATGTGAACAGGTTTCACCATATCGAAAATTACATATATAATTTTATTTAAATGTCTAGTTTGCTCAACTTTTACATATTCCATTTTTGTTAAAATGGGAGCTAGATTTGTTTATTATTATGTTAAACTCATTATAAAGACAACAATCTTAAAACCATTTTTCATGATCTCTTAAGAAAACACACATCCATACTAAGAATGATACGAAATCCAAATCAAGACTAAACAATCAATAAACAGAGATCGAACTCTATCTCAAGGCTCTTATAGATAAGCTTGTGTTAGTGGTGTATCAATTAAATTAAATTAAATTGTTACAGATAAACAGAGATCAAACTTGTTGGTCTTGTAGTAAGACTAGCAGTTGTAAATTGTAAAGGTAGTTAGGGAAAAGCAAGTGAGAAACACGCGCGAAAGAAAGAAAGAAAAAAGAGAGAGAGAAAGTGAGGCACGCCTTCTCCTCTTTGGAGTTTGGGTGGGCGACAGAGAATGTCTTCATGTGGCCGCCCGATTCCACTTTTTTTTCATTTCCTAATTTTTTGTTAATAAACAAAACCTTTGAAGACTTTTACCTTTTTTTCTTCAGAATATCAACTTCTCTTTCTCCTCTTTATTTTTAATTAAATGGTCATACAAAACGTATAATGGACTAATAATCCGTTCGATTTGATCATTTGACTTACTCCTCATTATTCTTTACTTTTCTATGATTCTACCTTCTGAGATTGCCTAGTCCAAATCAGTCATCACAAACTTTGCTATTTTGCGAACTGAGTTATACTATTCCACAAAAATGATCAAACCAACGGATTACAATATATCATCTAGACCAAAACCTGTCTTTCTATGTCATTTAGGAAATAACATAATCAGTTCTCATAGATTATCAATAAATTACAAGGAAATGTTATTGTCATTATTTACATAAAAACATAAACATACACACAAATAACATGCATTCTATTTCAAAAGTACCTATTATATAACTCACAATTACCTCAAAAAAGAGGCTGGAATGTTGACCACATAGACAACCTCTAACTACCTTAACATTATGCGCATATAGTTATGTTTCCACGAAGAGGTATCACCATGCTTTGAAAAATTTGAGCAAGTGGTGTCAGATAGTGCTGATAATAATTTAAAAGAGTTTGAAGAGAAACTCGGAAGCATAAAGATCCTGCTACGCTTCTTCTGGTCAAACTTTGTTCTTTATTTATATGGTCAACTTATTACTATGGTAGAATTATTATACGGATGTAATTTTATGTTTTGCCTCTCAAATATTTTTCCCAAAACTCGTCAGCAAATTAGATCAGATTGTGGACCGAGTCACCGAGTGATGTACAACAATATTTTTATGACCGACTGATCCTAAGTCATTCATCCCTAACAGAAAAAAGAATATCAATTATTTAGTGATGTTTCATCACGAATAAAACCTTCGTAATTGCCGAAGACCTTAAGAAAAAAAAAACGGAACCAGAATTTAGTCAAGTGGCTAGGTGATCGACATCGCTCAGGTCAGTGAGGACTCTATGCCCCTTATCAGTCTTTCCTGCATCACAAGATTTTTTTTTATTTTTGTTCTTTTCAAATTCAACATTTTCTATGTGACATAAAACGGTGGGCTATAAGCCCAAAGCTAGAAGAAAACCTTCGTAATCAGAACTGTAGACGCTATGTAACTGGACAAATATGTTATCTATATAGTCTAGTTTATTATTCAGATGACAATGTTACTTTTTATATCTATTTTATAATGATGACAAAAAATAATATTTTATAATTAAATTGTTATAAAGGAATATTATAATGTCTTAGTCAATATTCTCGGACGAACAAAGACAAAGATAATGACTAGAAGAACGCATACGTTTGTGCATTCCAAAACAATGAGACATAGTGAGCTATATCATGTGTAGATTTTCCAGTTGCTTTAGGGAGAAGTTCGTCATATGTATATTCTGATTTCTGAAAGTCAATCTGAGGACTCTATGCGAAAGTAGTATCTGATATAACACACATTATATTATAGTATAGCAAACAAGGAGAAATATCCACTCACAACTTCATGATCTAACACACATTATATTATAGTATAGCAACACAAAAGGACAGTAAAAATCTATTACTAACTCTACCTTATATTATACACTATCCAAATAAATCTCACAACTACCATTTAACCTACTGAGATTTTACAAGGAACAAGTCCGTTTGATCCTCACGATTAATGTCAAGATCTCGACCAACCAGTTTTACTACGCAACTAGAAGTGATTTCATACCTTTCTTTAACAAGCAAGAACACTCGAGCCATTACTTTCTCCACCAACTCTTTGGTATTATCTTTTCTACTGTCAGAGAAATAAACACTCGCTAGTAATCGTTCAATGATCTTAGGGTCAATTTCCAGCAAACAATCCGATCTCACGCACTTGTCGAAATTTTCTTTTACGCTCTTTTTTATTCTTTCTGCTAATCCTTCAAAATCGAAAGGCTTGAAAGGAACCTCAATGAGACGGTTGTGTTTCTTCAAATTCACTAACCAAAGAATTGAGTTCTCTTCACTACGATCTGTTTCCTCGGATTCGGTTTCTTGTGCCGGAAGATTTAGATCAAGAACTCCATTAGTTGTTCTGTTCAACCGTTTTACCGTCTCTAGACTCTCATTCTTCTCCTTAGTTTCTCCCAAGCCCATCACCTTCCTCTTGTTTACCGAACTCAGGCTGGAAATCGATCTCACAAATGGTAACCTTGACACAGTTTCAATCCATATCTCCACTTGCCTGCCTTTGGCTCTCAAGAGTTGCTCTTCCGAATAGGAGATTCTTGCTCCGGAATCTTCTGGTAAAGATGACGTCATAACAAACATGGTGTTTCCAATTCCGACTTCTCTTCCATGCGAATCCATAAACTTTCCAGTTTCAATAGCCTTTGACAAGCTCATTTGCAGCTTCTCGTCAGCTTTTTCAATGTTCTCAAGGAAGACTACACAGAAAGGATTCCTACACATCACTTCAAAGATATGATCCACCATTGTCTTTCCTCTCAGCCGCATCACATCACCACAACCGCCCATTCCATGCTCCGCAGCTCCAAGATCAACGGCCATAAATCTGTGTTCACTTTGATACACAATCTCAGCAAGCACAAGCGACAATCTCCTTTTCCCTACTGTATCAGGACCAACCAAATTAAGCCAAACATCTCTTCTAGTGCTACTCTTAGGCGGTTGAGACAATGCGCAGCTTATAACTCTAGCAGCTTCATCTTGCCCTGAAACCCTTTCGGTTAGTGTTCGGTATATAATCTTGAAACTCTCTGTGTTGAGATCCCTTGGATTATCCAAGCAAGCAGAGCTCGCAGATCGTGTCTGAGGAATATCTTTGTTATCCAAATTCAAATGCTTCTTGAGACCAAATCCTGTGGTGACCGGACACATCTTCAGATTCAGATCAGTCGTGACCGATTTAGCTGAACCGGTAGACGCAGAAGCACTGCTCGTCGACTTATTTCCACAAAATGATTCCAACCCTTCTTTGGTCTGCACTGAGGAGATGTAAATCCACTTTAAAATTAACATAACACAGTGAAATTACACATTCGGCCGAGAAAACTTGTAGTCCAAGGAAACGCACTTTGACGAGTATGAGAGATTACCAAAAAGTAGGAGAAGAGAAAAGTGCACGGACCTTGGAATCAGATTTTTGGTTTAAATCGGTTCTTGTGGTAATCTGTAACCAAGGTGGCAAGGTAGATTGGGTCTGATCGGATACGGAAGAAACCGGTCCGGTGATTTCCTTGTTAAAACCGGAGAAGGGTAGTTTCAAGTCAGAAGGAGTTGAGAAGAATCCACCAAATGGAATAAACGATCCCATCAAACTGTATTCAATTACAACATGTCAACATCATTAAAGAGAACGGTACAGAGAAAAAGAAAAAAAGGTAAATACAGAGTCATAAAGTTAGTTAGTGCAAGAGAGGAATCTAGATTTCAAATTGTACTTCAATGCTCTGATTCTAATTAAATTCAAATAACTCTCTGTTTTTTAGCTTATGCCATTTTTTTTATCCTATTGCTATTGCTGATATTTTACATGTTAAACCATTGTGTTTGTCATTAAAAACAAATGTTTTAGTGCTTCTATCAAACACCATTTAGAAATTGTAAGCACAGACGTTAAAACAACAAAGAAATAACTAGAATATGATATTTTTATTTTCTAAAATAAGATTATTTTCTCCTTAACAAATATTATGTAAATTATAAACACACACAGGGAAATGGTAAACAAATTACGGGAAATTAGTCGAGAATGTTAACAAATAGCAATAAGCTATTAATAGTCATATACCAGATTAAAATGTTTTGGATGTGACTGGTTACATGTTTTTCAAAGAAAATAATGTTGTCTTAATAGAAGAGAATGCTTGTTAAAAATGGTTAAACATGCGGTTGATGATCTTCTCAGGTTTTTAAGATATATTATAAACATAATATATTTTTTAAAAATGTGACTTTATGATGGTCGAAATATCTTAGTCCAAAAGATATTTTAATTCTACGTCTAATAAACTGAATATACTTGATGTCTAGATGATAAAAACAAAAATTATATACTAAATCCCGCGCGAATCCCCAAATCGTGATACAAAAACTCTCATTAACGACGCGTTTAGTATCAACAAAAGAAGCGATCAAAGCGTTTTACAATCTGAAACGCGCGCGAAAGAGAAACAGAGAGAGAGGAGAGATAGTCAAACCTGGATTTGTGGTGAGGCAAACAAGTCCTAAGAGAAGTGATGGTGAGTAACTGCAAATCCCAATCTTTCTCCACACTCGGAAACTTCCTCAACATCTTCTCATAAACCTCATTGCTCGCCGTCGCTCCGATCAACCACACTCTCCTCCCGCACCTCCGCAACAAATCCGATACACGACTCACGATGTAACTCGCCGCCGATCCGTTTCCCTCGCCGTCGTCGGTGAAAACTCTCAGATCTCCATAGTTCAAGACTAAACCAGGCCCTGAACCTTGCTCAGCCACCGTCCCGAGATCACGAAACCTCGTGTCGGTGTAGGTTTTATCGAATTTGCCGGTTATCTGATCGGAAATCTCTGAACCGATGTTAACAACGGTTAAACCGTGGAGCTTCGTCGGTAGAATCTCGTCGGTTCGGTTTTTTAAGAAATCGGTTAACACACCATAAGCCGATACACCCACAAGCAGAGGGTTCCTTCCTTTTTCCCTAGTGAAAACGGCGCTGATCCTCCGGTGATCGGAATCTCCGACGACATTCCGGTTCGGTATGCCGAAACCCCAACGAACCGGCGGTTGGGGATGATTGCCGGTTACGTTGCAGAGGAACAGAGGCTGTTGTTGTTGTTGTGCAGCACGAGTGGATGATGAGTAACGGAGAAGGTGAGGAATGGGTCGGATAATCGAGAGCTTTAATTCGGAGCTCCGAAAACCCGCTTCACCGAAAACCCGACTCACAACCGGATCATCCAAAATCGAGAGAATTAGCTGACGAAGTTCAACTTTGACGCAGGAGAGTGTCTGGTTCTGATTATTCTGAGACATCTCTTGGTAAAGCCTGAAATTCTCAGGGAGACGACGCTGGTGAGCCTGAGAGCGTTTGATAGCAGCCATGAGAGAGTTGGATACGGGCGGATCATCGGATCCGGGTAGACCCGATTGGATCCGGTCTAAAGAAACGCTGAGGCAGAGATCTAGAGCTTTGAACTGGAGACGAGGAGAGTAAGCGGAGTTTCGGACACAAGCGCATGCGTCGCGTAAGACGGAGGTTGGGAGAGAGAGTAAAGCGGAGACGGCGTGAAGCGACGTCGTTTGTGAGTGTCCACGTCGACGCGCCACGTTTACGGCTTCTTCCAGCGCGTAGGCTGATTCCGCCGTTAAGCATTGTTTCGCCAAATTCACCGCCGTTGGCATCGCCGTCGACCATATAAATATATAAAATAATTACACGCAAAATCAAATTCAAAAAAAATGAAAGAAAAATTAAATGCGATGTTTTTTTTTAAAGAAATTGAGTCTCAGGTACCAAATTAGTTTTACTATTTTCAGGGGATCTTAATTTTATTTTTGGGTTGTGAGTTATGAAATGGGAAAAATAAATTTATTTATGGAAGGAGAAGGAGAGAGAGAGAGGGGATGTGATACTGTTGGGTTGAGTGGACACAAAGGTGGGACCCAGAGTTGGAGTACAAATAAGTGGGACCCAGACACGAGGGGGCAGGGAAAGTGAGAGTTTGGAATCCAACAGAAACAGGTGCTGTTGATACTCAGATTATCAAAAGATTCTTGTTGCTTCTCGTTAGATCATTCTTTTTTCTTTTTTCTTTTTCTTAATTGCGTCTTCAGGTCAAATTATTTTCTAGCATCAAATAATTATTATTTTTGTTATTTTATTCTTATAATTTTTTGACCACATATCAAATATCTCCAACTACTCTACGAAAAAGATCTCCTTGATACAAATACTCTTAACACGTAACCCTACGATGTGACTATTCTAAAAACTGTATTTAACCCCTCTATTTCACACACACACATATGTTAGCTTTGAATTTCTATTGGATTTGAATAATATCTATTCGTTGTTACACTCTTATGTTTTTTTTTTTAAATGATAAACTCTCTCATTTTAGCTAAAACAACATAAACAAATATTTCTTATATCAAGTGATAGTTATATTTAGACCATGTTTATCAATGGTTTCTGTGTGAGTTTCTATCATTTTTTAGCATTTTTTTAATTCAAAAAGCATGATTAAGAAGGAGGATCGATCCTAAATTTAGGATTAAAAGGATCGATCCCTCTTTGTGACGTGGTTACTTTTCATTGGTTAAAGAAGAAAGAGAAAAAATGTGTTTGGAAAAACTTTTTCGTTAAAATCATTTTTCATCTCGCCTGAAAAAAAAACCCAGAAGCCACCACCGATGCGATTTCTTTCGCCATGTTTATCTGTCATCGGCGATGACCGTCATCCGGCAGAGAAATCGGCTAACCGGCGGCGTCTTCTGTTCCAATTGCAGCCTGAAATCGCATCATCGCCGGTGTCTTTTCGTCGACGACCTCTCGTGAAATCGCATCATCACTGGAATCTTGGGCTGCATCGAATCGACAAAAAAGGTTAAGTACAAACCAATCTAATCTATTTTGTTGTGGTAGTGATGTTTCTCACCTGTAAATCGATTTGGGCATAGTTTATAGATGTTTTGATTTGGGTTTTGATGTGGTTTGTTTTTATCCTTGCATGCATATGAAATGGTTATAGATGTTTATAATCGATTATTTGTTGAGATGATTTGGTTTTAGGTGTTGTGATTTGAGATTGATATGGATCGATGGTTGTCTAAATGATATGTATTCGATTATTGCTTCAGATGTTTTGATTTTGTTATTGCTTGAGCTTGATTCATGCTCGAGGTTATTGCTTGACTATTGGTTGAGCTTATTGCTTGATATTGGTTGACATTTGAGTTTGTAAATATGATTTTGTTTAAGGTTTTTTTTTAATATGAGTATGATATGGTTTAGGTGTTTGAGAAGTCATATGTCTCGGTTGTTGTTATACTTGAGTTTTGGTTCTGATATTTTATTTGTTTGTTTGAAGCTTTGATTGCAGGGTACCTCTTCATGTCTTTAAAAACACCAGAGTCATGTCCTCCAGTCCAGCCAATATATCAGGTTAGTATTTGTAAATGCGTTTAGGTTTGTCAATAATAAATGTGTAATGGTAGATTAATGGTTAGGTTGACAATAATAAATGTGTAATGGTAGTTTATCGGTTAGTTAGGTTGTAATTGGATTAGGAAAAGCTGGTTAGACTGAGCTGCATATCGACATGAATGCTTGTCATGTCGATATGGTTGTGGGTGTTGAATGCAGTTGTTTTCTTTTTGCATCTCTTTCTTGTCAATTGTACTTAAAGGAACCTTCAGGCCACTTTCTTTTGTATCTCCGATCATTCAAAGCAAAAGATCATATCTTCTTTGTTCTCTATCATCTTCTTTGTCTTTCTTCCTCGCTATCTTCTCTTTCTGGATATGTCTTCATATCCTTTCAGCCAGTCTTCTCCTTTTCTTGACCTGTTGAACAGTCAACAGCCACTAGAATCTTCGCAGCCTCCAGTCTTCTGTTCTCAAGGGTTTCATGGAGATGCAACCCTCGGTGAAGACAAGGAGAAGGAGAAGGAAACAAGCTCCAGGAGGGTGTGGACGCCGACTGAAGATGTGCTTCTGATTAGTTCTTGGCTCAACACATCGAAGGATCCTGTCGTCGCAAACGAGCAGAGGTCAGGTACTTTTTGGAGGACAATTGCTGACTACTTCAATGGAAGCCAAAAGGCATCAGAGAGTGTAAACCGTGAGCCCATTGCGTGTAAACAAAGGTGGCAGAAGATAAATGAAGCAATTTGCAAATTCTGTGGTGCCTATGAAGCTGCAACAAGGCAGAGAACATCTGGCCAAAACGATAATGATGTTCTAAAGCTTGCACACGAGATTTACTACAATGACAATAAGAAGAGATTCACAATGGATCACGCCTGGAAGGAGCTCTGTAGTGATCAAAAATGGTGTGAGCAGAACAGCTACAAGTTCGATGGAGGTTCTAAACGACGAAGGGTTGAAGATGGAGCTCAGGCGGATCCAGCTGAAGAGGCCGATGAAGTGCAAGCAGTAAGCAGGCCTCCGGGTGTTAAGGCCTCAAAAGCCAAAGGGAAGAATGCAGGCTTTGTGATCGATGAGAAAGCTGTTTCCAGTTTTAATGATATGTGGGGCATAAAGGAGAAGGAACTGGCCATAAAGGAGAGAATGTCGAAGATGTCATTGCTTGACCGTCTCATCGCCAAGAACGAGTCCCTGATAGAGTTCGAAGAAGCTATGAAGCAGAAGCTGATAACAGACTTGTTGAATGAATAATTTTTGTGTCATGTTTGTTTGTCATATGATGTTTTAGTTATCTTTTTTAGTTATCCCTTGTTGTATGGGTTTTTAAAACCCCTCATCTTTAATGAATCTAGCTGGTTTTACTTTAATTGTAGTATTTTTAGTTGTTGAGGATTTATGTTTGTTCTTTAAATGAAGTCTGTTTAGTTGTTGAGGGAAGCCTTCAATGAGAACTGATGTTTGTTTTAATGCATGTTTATGTTTTAATGTACTCTGTTTTAACAAGTCTGTCCCTTTTTTTGTAGAATTGGTGTTTCATGTCTCCTCGTGACATTAAAAGACAAAGGCATAAAGAGACAATGTTTTTGGAGAATATGCCCGTGACACCAGGAAACAAAGATATCAATACAAAGATAGCAGAAAAATTGTGTGGTCTATGGACCTTTGTAAATTTGGTGTAATATATTTTGTGAATTTGACAGCCACAAATCTGAATACAACTTTGCATATAAATTTGACAAGCGAGCTCTATATAATTCACACCCAGAACATTTTCTTTTCCACCATCACTCCAAACGTATTCTCTATCCCAACTCTATTGTTTTTTTCCTTCATCTCACGATTTTCAGATTCATAAATCCATTTCTTTTCTTTGAGTCATGGCTTCCTCGTCTTCCAATAACAATTATGAGGAATCTGAAAATGACCCCTTTGATCAATTTTTCGAGCAAGCCTATACACAAAATGTTGATCAAGCTTTTAATCAAATTTATGATCAAACGTATGAAAATCTCTACAATGCTTATGTTGCTCAGCAGGAGACAAGCAATCCAAGGAAGAAAAGAGCTTATATTGAAAGAAATCGCGAAGATGGCCACAACCGGTTGTGGAATGATTATTTCGCAGAAAATGCAACATATACCGATAATCTCTTCCGCCGGCGTTTTAGAATGAACAAGCCATTGTTCATGCATATTGTTGAGAGGCTTAGCAATGAAATTCCCTATTTTCAACAGAGGAATGATGCTTCCGGAAGACCTGGTCTCTCAGCACTTCAGAAGTGTACAGCAGCTATCCGTCTCTTGGCGTATGGTACCGCTTTTGATACGGTTGATGAGTATCTCCATCTAGGTGCAACTACGGCTCGTAAATGTTTGGAACATTTTGTAGAAGGAGTAATTGTTCTCTTTGGGGATGAGTATCTAAGACGACCCACTCCAGAGGATCTTCGAAGACTACTTGCTGTTGGAGAGTCGAGAGGGTTTCCCGCGATGATAGGAAGCATTGATTGCATGCATTGGGAATGGAAGAATTGTCCCACGGCTTGGAAAGGACAATATACTCGTGGTTCTGGCAAAACCACCATCGTTTTAGAGGCTGTAGCCTCATATGATCTGTGGATATGGCATGCATTTTTCGGACCTCCAGGTACTCTAAACGATTTAAATGTTCTTGAACGCTCACCGGTTTTTGATGATATCATCAACGGTCAAGCTCCGCAAGTAACTTTTTCTGTCAACGGAAGGGAGTACCATATGGCTTACTATCTCACAGATGGAATTTATCCAAACTGGGCTACATTTATACAATCCATAAAAATTCCACAGGATCAAAAAGCAAAATTATTTGCTACCAATCAAGAAAGTGTTCGGAAAGATGTGGAGCGTGCTTTTGGAGTACTGCAAGCTCGATTTGCCATTATTAAAAATCCTGCTCTTTGTTGGGATAAAGCTAAAATTGGGAAGATTATGAGAGCATGCATCATTCTTCACAACATGATAGTAGAGGATGAACGGGATGGATTCACGCTACGTAATGTCTCTGAATTTCAACAAGGAGATGAAAACGGAAATGCACAAGTGGATCAAGATTATTCTACAAACATGCTTACAAATATTGCTAATATGTTCGATGCTCGGAATAGAATTCGGGATAATCATATTCATGCCCAATTGAAAAATGATTTGGTTGAACACATATGGCAAAAATTTGGATAATATTAAAATTGAGTTTTATTGTTAAATTTGTGTTGTTTCATATTTTATAAATATTGTATTAAGTTTGTCTTGTTTTCACATTTTAAAAATGTAATATTACTAGTTTCTTTTCAAATAATAGTATTTTTTACATTTAAAAAAAAAATTGGAAACTCATCTCAGTTTCTCCAATGCACATAAAAAAACTAAAGTTTAAGTTTCTACTTCCAATTTTAATAATAAACTATTCAAGTAAAAACCCACAAGGGTTTCTCTGATAATCATGCTCTTAGAGCTACATACTACTCAAACATTAAACTAAATTTATGTTGGTTTTCGATATGCATAAACAAAGATTTGAAATGAATAGGTGGGCTTCACATTCGATCACAAATAAGGCAGGAAACTGAAACTTCCCGGCCTCAGTTACGGAGACGGTCACAGGTAGACATCCTGTTACAAGAACCAGTATTGAAAGAATAATAGCATGTTTCGAGATTCTTTGAGAACACTTAAAAAATGCAGATTAAACCAGAGGCCAAACGAAGAAACAGACCTGCAGAGTCAGAAAGAGAGCTTTTCTTGGATTCGTGTTTAATTATATTCAGTTTTCTTTATTTTGGTTTCGTCTATCTAAATAGAGTACTTATAAAATAACCTTGCAACCAAAAAGGAATTATGTAGCTCTATTGATTTGAACTATATCGGACATCTTTTGTCACGATTAGTACCAATCTAAGTTCCTTATAAAAGTAGAAGTTCCACAACAACAAAAAAAAGTAGAAGTTCTATCGACCTAGAGCATGGGAACACGTCTAGCTCGACCATGTCTTTTACGAAATTATCCTACTTTTATAATTGTATATGTCAACGAAATATAAAATAAAATACAGTGATGTAATCTGAAAAAGGAATCCAATAACATTTATTACCGAAAGATATAGGAAAGATCGGTGTCGGTCCTGTCAGAGCAAAATAAAAACAATGGATACGATCATACGACTTTATGAAATTAATATAAAAGAAAGCGACACTAACGATAGCAATAAAAGGAGAAAAGAAAGAAAGGTCGCTTTGCATCATAAAGTTTGAAAGAGACGAATGAGAAGAAGGAACCCTATTTTTTCACCACATACTTCACCTTTCATCACTTTCTCTAATCTCTATCACTTTCTTTTTCTTTTAAATGTAGAAAATAGAATATTTCTCCTTTTCCACTCTTTACAATATTTTGGAGTCTAGAAAACATTTGCAAATCCATATATATTTATGTATCATATTCATTCTCCATATGTCCTCTGTTTTTGCTATCGCTTGGATTACTACAGCATCTGATTTCTCGATTTTCAATGTCACTACCTGAACCCATCCGAATTTCAATACATATATATTATATAAAGAAATATTACTATGCTGTAAATTATAATTTGTTGTAGTTTAATTTCTGGAACTACTCCTGTCTTTTGTTTCCATTGATAAAAACTCATGACCTTTGAAAAATACATGACCTTTGAGAAAATACATGACCTTTATGGAACCCACATAAAATGATAGATATGGATGGGCTAGCTGTCAACTTACCACTCGCTAGGTCGTTTGCCCTATGAGATTTTGACAACTACTTATCTTTTATAAGATGTATATATATGCCAGACATTTTTGTACTGGATACTGATCATATTATGTAAGGGAACATCAACAAAAATAACTTAAAGAATATTATCAACTTTTTTTTCCATCAAATATTGGCGCGAATAAGAATCTTTTCTTTGAAGATCTACCGCTGATTGGAATCATTTTTATTTTCTATAAGGTACCTTTTTGTGTTCTTTGAATAGTCAAGTCATCCACATAATTCACGTTAATTAATCTGCTCATACAAAGTTTCATATTAGGAGATTACCGTAATCTTTTCTCCCTCTTGTGGTTATATACTTCTTTTCATATTAATACTCATTAATTTTGTTGGGGGTTGAATTTCTGAATGAAATGAATAGAATACTACTTCAAGTAAAAAAGTCTAGACGGTGAGAAGGAAAAAAGTTACTCGTAAAAGCATTAATCCATTACGATTTCCAGCTAAAAAATAGTAAAATATAATTTGTCAATCACCAAAAAAAAACATAACTTAATTCAACTAAGTATTATTTCGAATAAATTAGCTGCACTTACAAAACAGAAATAGATAACTACCGTACAATCTGGTTCACGCCATTTCATTAACCTCATGGATAGCTTCAGACACTCAAGTTATATTTCCTGAAATCTTTTTCTTCCTAAATCAAATTACCGCTCTAGCTTTACCTTTAAAACTCATTTTGGCGCAGTATTATCAGTTAAGCTTAAAACTCGTGCCGAAAAGATGAACGTAAACATTTAAAAAGCCAGGTTTTTGCCACTTGCGCTAACTGGTTAACTAGATATTATAGAAATCAGTTAATCTAAAATTAAGTTGATTTTTAGCAAATGATTTTCATCAAATTTATTGTCTAATAGTCTGGAAAAGATTACTGTTTTCTTGTTTTTTTTGTCAACAGTCTAAATTGATTATTGTTAAAGAGTATGAATCTGAGGTAAATTTATAATGGAATTTTATACTTAGGTCAATCCTTTCGTATTTGATCCACTGTTGCCATAGAGTATACATTGTTATCTAAAGTAAAACAATTATTCTTTTTTTCACAATCATATAAATTCGTAAAGGACAGCTTTTTACATATCAATGAATGTGTCACACGAGAAATATTTTTTCAATAAAAGTGAAGGTTTCTTCTTTAGGGAACCAGTATACTCGTTGACGTTTTCCGACCATACTCAAGAAGAATACGACATTGATAAAACGAAAAAAAAAAAAATGTGAACAAAACTAAATAAAAATAGTTTTCGTGAAGAATAAAGCTGACTTTATTCAAATCGAATATAATACAACTTAAAATATAACAAAAATCCCAAATTAGACTCACAATTCGAAACTACGGGACTATTTGCTCTAACTTTCTTTACTCAAAAACTATAACAAAAATCCCAAATTAGACTCACAATTCGAAACTTCACTGG